ATCCCAAAAAGTTAATCTTAACACTGGGTCATACATGCATTGTCGGCCCCGGTTGGATCATAAAATTCGAAACGACCCCCCGCTAGGCGGCACAACATTTGGAACCGCGCGCGCGCCGCTACGCTGCGGAAAAGGAAGGTTTAGCAGAGGCTATGCGCTTGAGCGCGTGCATGCTCGCGCACACTGATGCTGAGCTGACGGGTGGATGAATGATGCATTTGTGATGCCCGTACGGGTCAGGATTGTCGCTTATGTCGGGCCGACACATATGTTAGCGCCTATTCGCATACTGGCAATGCATCTTGGCAGCCACTGAGCTCAAGCTATGGTCAGCATCTTCTCAGGAGTACCAAGTTGGACGAAGGGAGCACAGGTCGAAAAAAGTAGGGTGCGGGATTGTTGATCAGCGGCCGTTCATGGATGATCTCCATCAAGACAACACAGCTGCCAATGGAATCGAACCTTCAATGGAATGAGATAGACACAATCTTGCTACGATGGTCCTTTAATCCTTCTCAAGTGGTCCCTTTCATTTTCTTTTGCATCATTTTTGATCTCAGAACCTTTCTGAACCTTTCTTTCATCCTATCAATGCTTCCAACTTAGGATGCCAGCTTCATGTACCATAACTAGCTCGACGTTCCGTGGGGCGTATGTCGCGGGTGCCGTTCCCTCTTGTCTCCTCGCAATTGGCGTAGCGCATGCGGCAAGGCCACCGCTATGGCGTCGAGGCACTCGCCGATGGCGTTTGGGTTCCCGGGCATGTTGATGATCTGCACGGAGGACAGGGTTCGGTCGAAGATGGTAAGTACATGGTTGCATCAAACGCACTTGCCAACATCCATTTGAGACTCTTGATCCAACACAAGCGGGGCCGGGTTGCACTGATGTCTCCATTCAAAACCCTGTCTGACCTCTTGGCTGACCGCAATTGGGGCTTGCTTGAAACGAGTATCTCGCCAGTAAGTGTTGCAAAGTAGCTTCTTCTTTGCCTCTTGCTGACGCCAACTGCCTTGGCATATCTGGCGACAGTCGCATTATTTATGCTGCTACAAAAGAACCCGTATCTTGGATGTCGACGCGCCTAGTTTTCACGGATCCATGAATCGAATCATGATCGCTGCCACTTGAACAGATTGGTCGAGGCAGACTTTCAAGACGCGAAATTTCTCTTTGGGGCCTGAAACAGGACCCTAGAGCTCAAAACACTTTTGCAACAATCACTCCAGAGTAGTTGCAATTCCACCGGGGTGTAAATAGACACTCGACGACTTCGCTTGACCACTCCAGATTTGGAAGACTCACCAGAGTGGAGCCACGTGTCCCAGCCGCCATTCTTGACAGCATGGCAGTCGGCGTGATGGTCAGACTGTAGGTCATCATGGCGTGCGCAAACCCGGGCGCCTCCCGCTCCAGGATCGCCTTCGTGGCCTCGGGAGTGACGTCACGGGGCGCTAGACCGGTGCCACCTGTCATGAACGGGTACGAGCCCTCATTGTTTTGTCACCACAATATACTGCTTGATTTCTGGTAAACTGAAAGCCGAAAGGAGGAGAGCGAGGACAGAATGCAAAGACAGGAGAGCACCTTGCGGGTTGAGCAACTCGCGCCGGTGTCGAGACGAATCACCTGGCACATCGCAAACTAGCCTTCCTCAGGCGGAGCGGTGTAACAGGCTCGTTTTCTTTTGCTGTTTCCATGGCAAGCTCTCGAGCCGATGTCCACTGCGCAAGACGTCAGCATTGTGCCAAAAATCTCGGCCCTGAACCCTCAGCCTGCAAGGTCCACAACGAACAAGTCTTCACAGGTTTCAGAACTCACCTGTGGTTATCACCAAGCTGACTTTGTCCTCGTCGCACCACTTCTTGATCGCCGCCTGGATCTGATCCACCTCATCCGGAACCACTTTCGTTTCGACCACCTTTACGCCCCCAACCCGCTCCCCCAGCTTCTCAACCGCTGCCACCGCCGCCGGGCCCCCCTTGTCGATTCCCAACCCCTTCGACACCGTATCCGAAACGGTTAGCACCGCCACGCGCACCTGCGCGCCTCCCGCCGCCGCCTCCTTCCCCTTCGCAAAATACTCCGCTGCGATCTGGTTCAGCTCGCGGGTCTTTTCTTCCGTGGTGGTAACGCCCCCCGGGGGCGCGTTCACACCGGCTTTCGCGGGATCGAAGCTCTGCCCGTGCACGCCCTTCTGAAGTGAGAAGAAGTTCGTTCCGGCCGCGTCCTTGGAAGCCGAAGCATCCGCCCCAGGCTGGTGTGAATGCCCTCCGCCGTCATGGTGCGAGTGGCCCCGGCCGTGGTGATGTGAATGCCCGCCCCCGTGGTGCTGTGAATGGCCCGCGGCTCCCGCGGCTGCTGTTGACGTGTCAGCAGGGGGGCTGATCTTTGGAACCTCGGAGTATGGCATGGCCATGAGGTTTCCAATAACTAGGGCGGAGACTTTTGTCCCAGCGGGCAGGACCCCGCTGCTTCGCGGGAGCTCCAAGAGCGCCGACGCCGACCGCATGCTCAATAGGCGGCTGCTAATCTGGCGACCTGTACTCTCCGCAATGAACCTGCAAAAAGAACGTAATGTCGTATGTGGACAGTCGTGGTCAGGCAATTCTGCGAGTTGTTCCAGCAAGCGGCCCCCTGCAATCAGGCCGGGCAAGGTGGAAAAGAACGCCGGTTTTCTCGCATGCAGGCGGCCTCAAATGAAGGCGACGAGGCGCTCGCGGAGTCTTTGATCAGCACATCCATGATTGAAGCAAATGAAGTACCGAGGCCTGCTTACCCTTTCCCGGCTTCCCAGTGTAAGGAGGCCCTGTGGTACTCGGGCCTCTCCGGATCCAGCTTTACTGACTGCGCCAAGGAGGCCTCCACCCTGCGAAGACAGGGCCTCAGCATCAGATGAACGCATCTTCTTTGCTTCGGTTGTACGTTTGAAAACTACCTCCACTTCAGTCGGTGTACACGGGCTGATTCCGAGGACACTTTCCAAACCCATATCAGTATCTGTTCTGACCAACGAGGACGCAAACAAAGGGCGTAGAGGAACTGCCGAACGTACTTCAACAATTCAACTTGCAGCCGGCTTATGGGTTTGTACAAACGGCGTCAAAACGCCCACTTTCAAGCGCACACAAGCCCCGCCACTTTACCCTTTGTCTACGGCATTCAGCGCTCGTTTTAACGCTCAACCGTCAACCTGGGCAGCTCCAGCGAGCCCTCTCGACCCTCCTGATTGCGGGCAGCCACTCTCATCTTGACTTCCGACACCACCCTGATTCAGAGGCTTCGTATCAAGATCGCAGAAAGATCGTGAAATCATTCGTGTTCAACTTCCATCAGACGGGACGGTCGAAGACAAAGCACTGAAATTCGACATCAGACCCAACACGTCCACTTTTAAAGCACAGTGAGCATTGGAGCACACTCTCTGCCGCTCACCGTCTAAGCTCCGGTTCGGCCCAGCCGGCGAGCTTGCGAATAGCTGGCAGCGCTGCCAGATTGAAGGTGACGATACTGCTGACGGGGTTCCCAGGAAGACCGAAGACGAGCAGCTGGTCCCCGGGGCCTTTCTTGGCCCGGAGAATGGACGCAAACGTCAGCGGCTTGCCGGGCTTCATCAAGACCTGGAAAATGTGACGGGCGAGATAGTCAGACAAATGACCGTTGTATGCGCCTTGCTAGGTTAATCAGGGCCTGGAAAGCTGGAAAGCGAGACACCCGAAATACTCAGAAAATGACCGTTGAATGCGGCTTGCCGGGCTTCAGCAGGGCCTGGAAAGCGTGACGTGCAAGATAGTTGGATAGTGAGCGTTGATGCGTGAGGCTACACGCTCGGTACTTCAGGGAAGCAGAGTCAGAAGCTCGTGATGGTTCGCGCTCGAGGTACTTTACAACAGCCAGAAGCAGGAAAAGCGAAGGACACTGCGACCTCCAGCCGGTCAATCTCCTTAAAAAGCTCGCTTCTGAGAATTCTTCCATATGCTTTTACCTCTTTCGCCGGCCAGCTCGGTAGAAAGAAAAGCTTGAAGCTCGAACGTTGCAGCTCCTCCTCAAAAGCTTATCCGAAGGCTAGCCATTCATGCAAGGTCTGGCCCGTCCAACGCTTGCCTCACCCGCCCAAAGTGCACCGTACCCCGCTTCTCGAGCAGCGGCTTCACCAGGTCCTTGTCGCCCATCGACACGCCCCCTGACGTCAGCAGGACGTCAGCGCCCCCCTCGAGCGCGGCGTCCAGCTTCGCCTCGAGGTCGCCCGCCTGGTCGCCGGCGATGCCCAGGTCTAGGGTTTCGCATCCGACGTCCTGAGCGGCCGCTAAGAGCATCGCGCGGTTGGCATCGCGAATCTGCGATCGAATGAAAGGTAAATGTTGTATTTAACCCGATACTTTTGCATTAGATTTCTGTTTGTTCGATGATTCGTTGAGTTTCGCAGCGGACGTCCTGAGCGGCCGCCAGAAGCATTGCGCGGTTGGCATTGCGAATCTGCGATCGAACGAAAGACAAATATTCTGTTTAACCCGATATTTTTGCATTGAATCTCTTCTTGTTCGATGATGCGTTGCGTTTCGCACCCCACGTCCTGAGCGGCCGCCAAGAGCATCGCGCGGTTGGTATCGCGGATCTGCGATCGAATGAAAGATAATAGTACTGTTACCCGATACCCTTGCATTGAATCTCTTCTTGTTCGATGATGCGTTGGGTTTCGCATCCCACGTTCCTGAGCGGCCGCCAGAGGCATCGCGCGGTTGGCATCGCGGATCTGCGATTGAAACAAAGATGTTTGTTCTGTTATCCGATACCCTATGGTATACTCTTTGAGGATGTGACGTCACGTTGCACCTCTTCGTGTTCGATGATGCGTTGCGTTGGAAGGAGAAAAGCTCGCAATGACGCCCTGGGTAGCCGCCAGGAGCATTGCGCTGTTATTATCACGGATCTGACATCGTATCAAGGGGAAAACTTCAAAGATATGAGGACACGTTCACGTTGAAGTTTGTCTGCTCGATGAAGTGCCGGAGTTGGAACCTCGCAATGGCGTCCTGGCTGGCATCAGAGGCATGCCATTGGAGAGGGGATTTGCTCAAGATGTGCTAAGCTTGGGTTCGACGAACACGGCAGTATCTCAAATCGCTTTCGACCTTACGTGGAAATACATAAGCGCCGCACATGTGCAAGGCTCATTCCGCTCGGTGGAAGAATGCAAAGCGGGTGAGCGGAATGAGTAGTGCGCTCGACAATGTACAAGATCGTAAAGTGGCGCCAGCGGTTTTGTTTTTTTCCCAATGTTTGGCTCCGTGTTCGATGGCAAATACAGCTTCTCGAGTAGATCAATCGCCAGAAGCATGGCAACGTTCCATCGCACATCCAAAGAAGTGGCTCTTCCAAAATAGGTCTCAAGGGTGTGCCTTACCTGGCCTCGTCCGAGTGTCTTGCCACTATAGGGGTCGATCAGCTCGTCTCCGGTGGATAGAACAGCGACGAGTGGTCGGGGGTACACCTGTTTCAGACAAGATGCAAACTTTTGTCAACAGCTTTCCTATGTGACCAACTCAAAAGGAAGCTCCTACTGAATTCTTTCTGGAGCCAGCGGGTCATCTGGGGATCATCGACCCAAATCTTGCAAGGCTTCATGACACGACTTCTTAAAAGTATTCCCATTCAGATGGGCATGGGTTGAACAGATTGAGACAGAAGCTATGTTGTGACCGCATGTTCGAAACTGTTATGGCCCTCATGCTACTCTCTAGTGAAGTACTTGCGGAGCTCCCAAGAAGGCGGGATCAGCGATTATCAAAACGGGGAGGAAGACAAGAAAGATCTGGACCAGCAAACAACAGGTGCACTGAAAGACAGCCTCCAAGTGAAGCCTTGTCAGTTTTATTAGACGACAAGGGACACAGGTTGATGTTCCGGGTGAATAAGATTTGATGAACTGGGAAGAGTCGGACACTGGAGCCAGCTTCAACGCTTGAAGGCGTATTACAACAGAACTTCGAAACTCAATCCTTTCAGGCATCGAGCCAATCAAATTTTGTGCACAAACCTCTGTTTGGATACCTCTGAGCAACACCGACTTCAAGGCATACCTTGACTTTGACAGCGCCGACGGTTGCAAGAATCCCGATTTCACCAGCGGACAGGCGTTCCCCAGCTTTCAGGACTTCCGCGCCCCCTGGGATGTCGGAGCCCTATGAAAAGCAAAGGAAAGCAAGGTCACATGCGGGTTGGTTAGGGAGGTTTCAGGAGAACCTACAGGGTCCTTGAAAATCTCTTCAATGATTGACCAGAAAGCAATGCAAGCTCTTGCCACTTTGAAGATAAGAGCCAATCAAACTTGGCGAAGTTGGTTCGCATAGCCTGTTGCAGAACTCTGTCTTGGCCACGAAGTCAGATGCCAGTCACTTGCACCAGTAATTTGGAGATGTTTGTGAGGCAGGATACCCTTTTCCTTCTTCCGTGCAATGTGAGACAGGCACTCGCAAGCCTGACTCCCATCCTCGTTCTTTTGCATCCTTTTTAGGACTTGAAAACCCCCTGCCGTCATTCTTTGCACAGGAGATAAGTGCAGCGAAAGCAGCTCAAATAAGCAACTCATCTCCAAGGGGACTCACCACCCCCCTGACATCATCCCCCGGGCCCTTTGCAGGTTTCACGATCCGGACGCGCTTCTCTCCATTCGGACCGTCCGGAAGCGGCAGCGTGTTCTCAACTTGGACAACTGCATTTGCTCCTTCTGGCATGGGGCCCCCAGTGGTGATGTAAGCAACGGTGCCTTTTTTCACGACCACCTCGCTTTCAGCATCTCCCGCACGAGCCTCGCCAATGATCGGGTATTCTCCTGGTCCATCTTCCGAGATGACAGCATACCCGTCCTGCGAAATGGTGGTCATTGTTGTCGCTCCAAAACATTGTATCGTTACAAGGTCGATTATTCGACTTTATTGACCTACAATTGTATCCACATTCCTACCCGCTTTGAAGCATTTGGAATATGTGGCAGAGCGTACGGAGACAAGCGAAGAAACACTGAACAATGGACGAGGGTTTCATTGGATAAATGCTGCAAGACAACATCGGCAGCTTTACAAAAACATGGCCACATTTCTTTGGATGTTTGTATCTTCAAGGGACTCAACCATGTTGCCCCTATAATGGAGCTAACCTCAAATTTCATGGTCATGAAACACTGCACAATTGTGGTTTAAACAAATGTTTGTTGACTTGCTGAACGCCAGCGCCGTAGTAGAGCCTCTTTCCGGAAGCTGAATTCAAATGCAGCATGTGGACCCCTTGCTTGATTTTTACACTTTGTAAGATGTGAAGCCCCAACATACCAAAATTAAGCTTGACATGATGATGGGCCATCAGCGTAGGAGACACGCAAATGCTGTCCTGGAATCAAGATCAAGCAACCCACCTTAATAGACGCAGGAAACGGTGGAAGTGGTTCTGGAGCGTGCACATCCTCTGCCAAAATGGTCCCAAGGGCCTTGTCTAGACTGACAGTCACGGGCTGCAATCGGTTTGCCGATTTCAGGATGACTTCAGTGGCGTCAGAGATCGAAAGAAGGGCATAGCTGGATGACGGAGCCCCCGGCGCCGCGGGAACGCCGCATCCAGCATCTTCGGGCTCACCATGACTGTGACCACTCATCTTGACTATTACAAATGGATATTTTCAAGAGCTGTGCATACCGGCAAACACAATGCTGTGGTGCATTGAACGCGAAAAGTACTGCTGGGCAAGTGTAAAAGCCCTTTAATCTTGAGATCATTCTGCTCTGATTGTTGCAATTGATGCTTAAAACACCAATGCACTTCAAAAATGCAGAAATCCAGCTCCATCTGGCCAAACCCTTTTGCCGCCATTCGGACGTAGGTATTCACATCAGAAGTACGCTTACGCATAGCAGAAACGTTCGGTTCTGTTCGCTGGTTGATGTTACGTCGGACCGGCAAAGTGTAACCTGGGACCAAGCTCTGGTCTTGCATTACAAACTGTCAAACTCCCTTCAAGTTCCCTGAGCAGAGACATGCAGGCAGCCTGAGCAGGTCAGGATTCAGGGAGCCACACACAAGGAAGGACCACAGAACAGCTGCCTTGCAATTGGCCGAGGTGGAACAGCTGCTGCACCGGTGCTGGCACCAGTTTGAGCTGAGCTGGAACAGCCCAACTCTGTGGCTGCCTTTGTGACGCATAAGAAGCCCAAAGAAGGGCAGGAGTGCTGTCTAATTTTGGAGTGGTCAGTAGCCAGCAACAAGCTGAGCGGCCGGAAACCCTTGCTAATGAGTAGAGAAGTGATGCGTCCAGTAAGAAACTCAAGCGTGCGCCTATGCTGAAGATTCGAGAAAATCTGCTGTAAGACACGCTGATTTGCGTTGGTCAAAATGTTGAGGGTTTCGCAGGCTGCCGCTCAGCCCGGTGGTCGAAATGTCAAAAACCCTGGTGGAAGTTTGCCGGAGGCAAGAAGACGAGATGCAGAGTCGCAAGAGTTGGAAGGGGATGACTCCTTTGCAGAAGAAGTTTCCAAGGAGGTTTTTGCAGCTTATGTGTGTAGGAGCCAATCCAAAGGTTTAGATCACCCAGGGGACATTGCTGAAGCAGCTAGTCTGGCTGCCATCCCTCTGCCACCATCTCGCTTTCCTCTCTTCGATTCGCTGCCTTCAGCAATCGTGGAGGGAGGCAAGCTGAGCAAACTCCAGCTGGAAGGTAAGCTCATTCTTAGTATGTCGTTGAGAGCCCAGATTGTCACAACCAAGACGTGCTTAATCCAGAGCAACTATCAAGATGTGTTTCACCGCAGGGTCTTCTTGACATGGTGCCCCCGAAAATTGCAATGCATGCTTTTGTGCAGGTGTTATGTACGCTTGCCAGGCACACACAAGCATCCTCCCCAATGGGAGCCGGCAAGGATTCTATATCGGTGATTCGACAGGGGTATGTGTTCGTGCGCATATCTGTACAGTTCTTTGGATCTCCCCTGAGAGAAAAAGAGCCCAACATGAGTCAAGAAGACTTTTTGATGTTTGGGCCTGTGTTTAGAAACGCCCTTGTTTCTGCATTTCATCTGAAGCTCAAAACCTGTTGTGCTTCTACACTCAGTGGGTGAGGTAGTAGACCCTGCAAGTCAGTATCAAATCATTATGCCACCGGTGGTTCCGGACTCGTTTCGTATCGATCAAAAAATATGTGGTTACATGGAGAGACAGTCAGAGCACTTGCGGGCTTTCAAGACGAAAGGCGGCGCCTGTGTGCCCTCTTTGAGATCTATATACTCTGTTTTCTGACAGGTTGGAAAGGGACGACAGTGCTCAGGTATCATTCTGGATTCTTTTGCAAGGGGCCGGAGGAAGCATGTATGGGTGTCAACATCGGAGGCAAGTACTCTACAGGCTCGTCGGTCATTCTGAGTCTGGCTTCAAGGAGAGCGTGCTTAGGATCAACTCTCTGAAAAAAGAAGTAGCCTTTTTGTTGTGGCTCTCCTTTGTCATCTCTCGGACTACGTCTAGCATTGCTTGACTGACTTTTGAGCCTTCGAAAAGCTTATCCGGTTTTGAAGGCTGACGTTTCCCCTTGCTCCTTGTACAGGACCTGAGCCTTGATGCTGAAAGGGATCTACGGGATATAGACTGCCACGTGAATGTGATCAGGAATCTGCAGTCCTTGGACCGGGAAATGAAGGCTACTGGTCTCAGCAAAGATTTCCAAGAAGGCAAGGCCTCTCTTTCCATTTTGTGTACGCAAAAACAGTGTTGGATGCTTTTGGTATTCATGCCCCCTGTACGGTTGCAGTTAGCAAGTATCGGTGGTGTGATGAAGCGTGTGAGTGGGAAAGTTCTTGTGGTGACTGCCATGGTTACAAGCATGCACAGCATGTGACCCGAGAGCTGACGAAGTTCCCTCCCCAAGTAAAGCCATAACCGTATCGCAGGTTTTCTGACGGGGGGAATTCCAAAACTGCTGCAGGTGTTCTCTTTACCACATATTCAACCCTTGTTTCTACAAACAAGAAGGGAAAAAGGCTCGATCAACTGGTAGCTTGGTGTGGTGGTGAGAGTTTTGATGGAGTCCTGATCTTCGATGAAGGTAAGTTCTCCCGCCGGTATCAGCAACTCCATGTTCATTTGCTCCAACTTCAGCTTTAGAGTTGCTTACCTGGTGCAGTCTGTGAAAGAGTTCAAGAAGACCTCATTGCCTGCGACCAGGAGAAAGATGAGGAAGTACTCTTGCGATATAAAGAACGCTTTCGTAAGTCATGTTTTGAAGGTACCTCCACTCATCGGCGACAGCCTATTGGGTTCGATTGCAATCTTCGGAAGTTCTGATAACATGTTAGCTGTTCTGCAGCTCACAAATCCAAGAACTTTGTCGTGGGTAAGGAGGGGGCCAGCAGCAAGGTGTCTGTTACTGTCATCCAAATTCAGGAGCTTCTTCCAAAAGCCAGGTGAGCTTGTGCAAAGAGAGACTCGTGCATTCGTTTGCATAGTGCAAAGCAGATTCGTGGAGGTCTTATTGATTGAATTGCCGATGATATAGCATTTGAAGCTCAGCAAGTAGACCTCGTGTCATTGGCTCTTCTCTTGGTCCTGTGTCATTTCTGTATTCATAGACGACGTACCTTGTCCGCTTTCAAATCTGCATATTGCGAGTTTTTGTGATGTCAAATCTCTTACTTCGTTCTACGCTTCCTAGGGTTGTATATTGCAGCGCGACGGGCGTGAGTGAGATTGGTCATTGCGCATACATGACGCGGATGGGCCTTTGGTGAGATGCTGAGCTTGTTTGTTCTGCTTTTCTTGAGCGCAAATATTGTGAAGCTGTCTGCGTTTTCGACTTGTAGATTGCTTGCTTTCGGCACCACCTGCGGTCAGCATGTGACACGACCTGCGGAAACGAACCGAAGGGGCGATTCACATGTACATAAAAAACTTCTCTGCAGGGGTCCTGGGACGCCGTTCAAGGACTTCGAGTACTTCGTGGAGAGCATGAAGAAGAGAGGGCTTGGGTTTCTGGAGATGCTGGCCATGGAAATGAAAGCGTCCGGTGAGCCAGCTTTTGTGCTTGAACTTGAACGGGTACATGGTTTATAACTTCTGGTGGAGAATATGGATATTTCAGCTTGACGTGTTCATCTTAGGAAAGTGACGATTGTAACAGAAACGTTGCGGATTCAAGTTTAGTCCAAATTCCACGACTCAGGTGTTTTGCTGCATAATTTGTGAAAACTATTATTGGCACCCCGCGATCCCATCTGCAAATCCATGACCCATGCCCGTTGCTTCAGACCCTTCCGATTCTCTCCAGGCTTCTATGTATCTCGGGGGTTGAGCTTCAAGCAAGCCGAGTTCCTAGAGCTCGAGTGCAAGCTTTCAGAACATCAGGTAAAGTCATCAGGCGCAACGTTCTTTAAAAAGTTTGTCTTGCATCTTGCTGTATGTTGCGCTGTCCACCAACATGTTTCGTAGACAGTAAGCATCTTTTTGTACCCTCCTCTGCCACAGGTCGGGATCATCTCTATGCTGTCTGGAATCGTCCATGCTTTTGCTTGTATTTCCGGCTGCCTTATCATTTATTTGTCCTGCAGATGCAAGTGTACGATGACGCTGTAAGGCTGTGGAGCAAGCTCCGTGAAGATCTCGCTCTCGCCTTGAACCTTACCAAGGCCCCGGTCAGGGACCTCTCTCGAACGTTCTGGTCCTGTCAGCAGGTAAGAGCAGGACGCGTCAAGAATGAACAGCGGACGCTCTATCAAAGTTATCGTTTCTGAGATGCTGACCATGTAAACGGTCCAGGCCCGGCTCTACAGAAGTCTGCTCTTTGCTTCTGGAGTCTGGATGGACGTGCATACCTTGACGAATCCAACTCGACCACACAGCTTTGATAACTTGGGAATAGAAAACATGTTATTGCTCCCTTGCAGAGGTTCTTCAAGATGCTATGCATCTCCCTGAAAGTACCGACAGTTGTTGCTGAGGCTAAGGATGCCCTGGCAAACGGCAATTGTGTGGTCATCGGACTTCAGGTAAGCCTACGTTGCTACCTTATCCAGGACCGCGTAGTGTGCGAGTCTTGCCATAGATCGGCAACGCAGCGCTTCTAATCATTTCAGTTCAACAGACGCAAAGCTGTCGCAGTTGCGTCCGAGGCAGTTTATTGCTGAAGCATCGTCGACCGTCGTTAGAGGTGCCTCCTCCTCACCTATGTGAAACCTGTCAAACGTTAAGAGACGTACTGGTCTGCTCGATTGTCAATGCGGCGGAGTCTTGACACAAGCGAGCTTAGCTTAAGTAGGCAAGCACCTCTGGAAGCAGTGCAAAACGTCGAGGTTGCCGGCTAGTATCGTTGTATCAGCTTTAGTCAGACAGCTCTGGTGCTGAGCACCCAAGTGTGCACGGTCCATTCCGGTCTCACCAATCTGCCTCCGGACATAAAACCTCTGTTTTCATTGAGCCGCGTGTTGGCTTGTCCATCGCTGATGATTTCGCTGGGACCCAAAGAGCAGCAGTATCAGTAGGTGATGTCTTCTGCTCGAACAATGTTCTTTTCTGAGTTCTCGGGTCGATTGCGCCCATCTTCGAGAATGGGAGTTCGTTCGGGATAACGTTCGATTTGTTTCAGCAATCAACAGAGGGGAACCTTGCTGTGATGCAGACCACCGGTGAAGCGTCCCTGGTCAGGCCTGAACTTTTCCCAAGTAGGCAAACACCTGTTAAAGCAGTGCAAGACGTCGAAGTTTCCTCCTTGGACTGCTGATGTCATTCGCAGGTAGACAGCTTTGTATTTGTTACGTAAGGTTTACTGTTCAAATGCAGACCACCGGTGAAGCGTCCCTGGACAAGGAGTTGGAGAAGGACGAGAAGATCAGCGATTTCGTGTCCACCACCAAGGAGATGCTGCTCCGCTTCATCGAGACGCAGTTTCCCATCCGCATCTACGAAGACCAAACCCTCCAAATAAACCTAGCTCCAGGAGCCAGCTCCGAAGGCCCTGCGTCGCAGGCCGGCACTCAGGCCGGCCCTTCGTCACAGTCAGCGGCAGCAGCGAGGGCCACGCCGACAGGGCCTATCGAGGAAAACTGCCTGGCAATGCGCGACCTGTTGATAGAAAGCGCGTGTGATTTAGAGCTCCCGCCGAACGTTCTCGACGAGCTTGTAGACCAGCTGGGGGGACCGTCGGCAGTCGCCGAGATGACGGGACGGAAGGGACGGGTTGTTCGAACGGTAAGGCTCGTAAGCTACGTTCAAGTTTCCGCGTCTCATTGTGCCGTCGCTGCCTTCTGACACAGCGCATATCCCGCATGTATCGGGTCGGTCCGTCTGGTCAGCTTTTAGAAGCATCTGTCCTCAACCTGGGGATTGCGGTGCTTTTTCGAACAAAAGGTTTGTAGCGGTAGGTCCTTAATGTCATTGAGCCTTCGTTGTGTGCTGGGACCGCACGCTTGGCTGGTTGCGTTTCTCAACCGTTTCCTTGACTTTGACAACGCATTTGAGGTGATTGCCAATATTCTTTGATTCTGATATTGGATCCATGGAAGTTGAAATTACCCCTGGTTTTAGGAAAGATTGACTTTGCCTCGTGGCTGCATCACTGGGGTATCATCAAGTCTCTCAAATACTGCGACTCCTCTCAGGCGAATGGGTCCATCCAGTACGAGCTGCGCGTCAAGTCGGAGGCCTCAGAGCTGGACAGCCTTAACACCAGCGAGTGCAAGGCCTTCATGAAGGGCCAAAAGCTGGTCGCTATCGTGTCAGACGCGGCGAGCACAGGCATCTCGCTGCACGCCGACCAGCGGGTCGAAAATCAACGGCGGAGAGTGCACCTCACGATCGAGCTGCCCTGGAGCGCCGACAAGGCGATCCAGCAATTGGGCCGCTCGCATCGGTCCAATCAAACTAGGTAAGGGGTGGATTCGTGATGTCGCCCTAAGTTTAAAACCGGGGTGCTGTCCTTGATCGAAGATCGTTTCAACTTGGTGCGGCTGTGTCTATGCAATTCACCGTTGTAGCAAAGTACCGGATACTGCAGATGCAGGTAAGAACCTATCAAGCATGCGAATCCTGAGAAGAACCGAGGCGACCACAATTCCTGTATCTATAACGCCTCAACGTGCCTCCATCAGAGACTCTGTTAAATGCCTCCGGAAGTTTCGGGAAACCGTTCCAAACCCAGGTCGTTCTTTCTCCAAACAGCGCTCCTTTGTACAAGCTGGTCACCACCGACTTGGGAGGCGAGAAGCGCTTCGCCTCCGCTGTTGCTCGACGCTTGCAATCCTTGGGCGCTCTGACCAGGGGCGACAGGCGGGCTGCCTCGGGGGTGGACCTGAGCGAGTGGAACATCGACAGCCCGCTCGGTCGGAAGGTGAGCCGTCGATTATTGCCCAAACTCCCGCCGAGCTTCTTGGAGCTAATCACTCGGCAGGTCCATGTTTAGTACAGCGTTTCCGAGCGGGCAAGTTCGAAAAGTTATTCTTGCCTCCTCTCGGAGTTTCTAGCTTGGGGGCCGCCTCTGATTTGTAAGCTTTCTGCAATAACTTACCGAGCCCGTTAAGCCCTGCTTGAAGTTGGGTCACGATTTTTGGACCCCACAACGGAACTTGTTCAAGCAAACATAATGCTTTTTCTGATCTCACTCCGAGAGTCCATTCGGAAAACGGGGATACCTCGTCTTCATCGGTTCCCCTCCTCTTGCAGGCCCTCAAGAAGATGTACGACGCCATCATCGAAGGCAGCTCGCGCCTGCCGAACGGCGTCCGCTTCGACGACCTAAACCCATTTAGCTCGTACGACGGCTCCCAACCCAGCACCGCAACCGAGCTCAACACCGCAATGCAAGAGTGCGTCACTCTGATGGGCGTCAACGTCAGCGAATCCACCAGGAAACGTGCCCTAGTCTCGGACGCCCCGGACAACGGAGCGCTGTACCGGATCGTGTCCGAACTCATCGCCTCGAAAGATCCGCTAAAGGTACAGCTGGCGACCGAGATGATGCGGCAAGTGCGGCAGGCGAGCGCGGCCGCGGGGGCGGGAGACGCGGCCGCGACAGACGACTTGAGCACGGCGGAGGCGGTGGGGAAGGACCTGAGCGACGTCAAGAGGTTCCTGAACCGGCTGCTGGGGCTGCCCTGCCGGAAACAGAACGTGCTCTTCAATTACTTCGTCGCGGTAAGTGACTCGGTACAGGAACATTGGCCGGCATTGTTGCTGATACTCCACTTGATAGGGTGATTTTCAGAAGACTGACGAAAGCCTTATGATTGTTGATTGTCGTTCAGTCGATCTTGCCTAAGCCTCGCTGAAGAGAAGTGCATGCTGTTTGCTGCGTCCGATCAAAGATGTCTTCTCGTGACTTTGTAGACGGCCATTTTATCGTCAGTTTGTGGTAGATTGATCCTTAACGGGTGCAAGAACAGGATCCCTCAATGAAACGGGGCATCGCGGAAAAATGATTACCGCTCATCCCGTTCTTTGGTGTTTGCGTTCGGTAAAAGAATGGACTTGGTGTTCTGACTGTATCTACTCAATTTTCTTTCGCCAAAAATAAGATTCTGCCGTCGTTTCCACTTGGCGTCCCTCTCCGACGCCTATTCACACCCACCTCTCCCCCCTTTAGGTGCTGGCGGCCGAAGTGCGCGCCGCCAAGCAGGAGGGCAAGTACAGCGAGGGGGTGAGCGACCTCCCGGGCACCGACGTTCGGCGGGCGAAGCCCCCGGAGGTGGTCTGGACCGACCCCTGGTCCGGGCTGGCCACCAAGCGGCACGACCTCATCGTCGACAGGGGGGTCTCCTTTGAAGCGGCGGTAGCGCAGCTAGAGCACGAGCGGGGAGAGCCACGAGACGGGTTTTACATGAGCAACCGAGAGTGGTTTGGGAGGTGAGTAGGGCTCTCTCTGTGGACGAATCGTCGGTTTCAGCGACTCTGGGATTTTTGAGACTGATGATTTTGGAGGAGTGCGTGCTGGGTTGATATATGTCCTTGTCCGTGTATCAGCCAGTAATTCTCAGTAACACTGGGCTCGTCATGCACTGTTTTGGCTGCAGTTCTTAAATGGAAAGTGCGCAGCTTTCGATGCATACTCCAGCTCAGCGGTCCTGGCAGTCGAGGGAGATCAAAGGCGAATTGACTTTTCACGTCGTCTTTTTTGGACCGTTGGCACTCCGAACAACAGGGGAATTGTAGTAAAACTGGTCAACATGCTCTCTGCACCTTGCAGGCCGATGTTCCTCATGGCAATTCAGAAGCCGGGCGCCAGCGCGTTCGTGGTGACGCGGCCCAACACCGGCAAGTCGTTCTTCGAGATGGACGAGGACGAGCTCGCAGACAAGTACCGCGCGATGGAGCCCGACAAGGTGCAGGCCGGCTGGACCGCCATGTACGAGCGCTCGCTGCACTCCTGGTGAGCGGCGCGCTTGTTTCTCTGAATGTTAGAATGGATGGAAGGAGAACGCGGACTTTCGGCCGGTCACACTCGAGGACCTCGTCGGTAATAACCATTCAGATCGACGGTTCAGAGGGTGTTTTTGACAAAGCCAACCGTTGGGGTTACAGCCAAGGGGGTTCGCAAAGGATGGCCAGAGTTTATGTTATCCCTCCAGCCCCTTCTGTCACTGTCATCACAGAGTGCCAATTCTAACAAGCATCTCTGGATCGTGTCGAGTCGTAGCTGCTGCAAAAAATATCAAGTAGCTCCGTTGTGGGGGAACTCCATTTCTGGTGTGTATTCGACATATGAACCCGTTGACAAATGGAAGGAGGCCCGTCGATACTGGTTCAAACAAGGCGGAGCAGGCGGTCGAAGTTATCTCACGAGAGGCCCAGACGGATCCACGACGGCACTGCTTTGAACCAAGTGTTCAACCATACCGTTAACGGAGTGCTTGACCATAGTGTTAACGAACACGCCTGATCCGCGTGATTTCTGCAGCCTGCACGGTGCGGCGTGCACCAACGGTCGGAGCTGCGCCGCGGGCATGCGGGTGAGCGAGGTGACGGTGCTGCAGGGCGCGGTGGTGCCCATCTGGGGCACGCTGGAGCAGCTCCTCGACAAGTACGCCATGCAGCTCAACAAAAGTGAGCCGCTTCGCGCTTAATGGTGATCGCTCTGCTGATTGCTCACTTGCTGGAAGGCGGGCGTTCTTGCGAAGAGGGTCAAGTCCGTACAACCCGCTCCACCGAAAATAAAGAATTCCATTCTGCTCTCTCTGCCTGTAAAATGTCGCGGTATTCGCTTCCACTTCTTCACGGAGAACACGAATGCGTAGGCGGAAAGGTTTATTACACGCAAGTGCACGGGTGGATGTTGGTAGAAGAGACGCGCTGCGTGATGCCCGTACTGCGAAACGGTTGTCGCCGTTACCGAGCAGAGAGAGTTTCTGCCGGCTCCCCTGGTTCCAATTTCCGGGCAATATCAGCCTGGCCGTCTTTGCATGGCAGGTGACCGGGGCATGCGAGTAGTGCGCGTTGAGCTCAACGACACGGACAAGGTCATCGGCATCCGGTACCCCGCATATCTGTTGGAAGAGGTGAAGGCGCTCGTAACCGCGGCGCAACTAGAGCGGGCTGCCTGGTCTAAGACGACGCAGAGCACCGTGGAGCCCGTCCGGCCCGTGGACCCGAAGGCGCTGGCCAAGGCGACGCGGCCGAAGTTGACCATGCTTAGTAAGTCCGGAAACGCTCCTGATAAGTCGATCCGTTTAAGAGCGTATTTCGCGTTTCCGTTGTCGAGAAGCGATTTCGTACATGCAGTAGCGGGCTATTCTTGGAGTAGCAAAAGGGCTTGTTAGGTCTTTTGTACCGAGCAGGTCTTGTATGGACGGCTCAGCGGCGCACGGACGAGAGGCGCATGAGGAAAACTATTGCAATTCTCGTCATTTTCGAGGACACGTTTCAGCTTATAATCTTGTTGCGTGTTAGTGACCTGGTCCGTTCTTCCGCAGGTTTCTTCCAGCCGAAGACTGCGGATGCGCCAACCGTTGGTCCGCTGCCAGCGGTAGCGAACACCATGAACAATTCAAAAGGCGGAACAATTCCTGTTCGGACGGTGCATGCGTCAGCGGCTGTCGACAGCATAGATCTGAAGCAGACAATCGCAGGGGCCGTTGGTCAGGCTGGCAAGCGGCCGGCGCAGGTAAGGCGTGCAACTTGGTTAGAATCAGGCTCTGTAGATGGTCCGGCATGGTTATATGCACGCCAGGCCATCTTTGCACACGCTTTGCGACTCTAGTGGTGTTGGGGACGCTTAGATATGCGTGGCATGGACTGAATCGCTCGATGTAGGTTGCGTGTCAGGCTCCCTTTGACTGAAACCTAGTAATGCTCCTATTTTCTCGAGTCCTCTAGTTTTCATAGTTTCCATAGTTTGTGCTAAAAGGCTTGTTGACCAAACCTTGACGCTCTTTTTCAGGCGGAAACTGGGCAGAAAGATGCCAAGCGAAAGAGATCACTGCCAACGCAGCAGACGAACACCCTCCACAGCATGTTCAAAACGAAGATCGTCGCTCCCGCCAATGCAACCGGCTCTGCGAGACCGATCAGGAAGGCGGCCGGGGGTAGCTCGGAGCAGTCTCCCATCGATCTTACGGAGTCTGACTGCTAATCATCGGAACTCGACTGCATAGAGATAAGCTAATTAGGTCTTAGGTGAGTTGCTAATTGAGAGCCCTCCATGTTGAACGAGCAGTACTTCAGCACGATCACATTCCAGTTTCAGGGCTCCGCCGAAGAGGTAACAGTCTGATTGATCATTTGGGTATTGCGAGTCCACAACGCTGCCTGACGAAAGACGGCCTGAAATCGTGGTGCTCGTTCCGCGGCGTTCTTGGCAAGAGGTTGCCAAGTCAAGATCAATGTTGGCTAAGCAGTACAGAATCCAATTGGATGTATCTTATAGATTCCGAGTGTGGGGTCCGCACCATGATCAGTGACCGTCTACGACATGCATTTTATACGGATTCTGCTTTGACCAGCATGTCGCACAATGTACGTGCAAGTGTATGTTGTACAATCTTGATCAGGCAGCTGTATGTACGTTGAGTGAGCAGATTGTGTCGGAAGCTATTCCTGTGAAACATAAGGTCGAGAAGTTTCTTGCTGGTACCGCACTTTCTGCAGTTGCATATACTGAAGTAGAGGTAGTAGCTATACTTGGCCGTTCAATTCACGGCTGATCGATGATTAGCTCGATACTGCAAGAATCTCTATGCGCAATGCTTATAGGTAGGCACATGCATGTTCGAGATCTGCGCATTAGGTACGGTGTGCATGCGACCTGTAATGATATGAATGCTAAGTTAAGAATTGATGGAGCATTTGAGATCGCGGTGCTGGCGCCCTTGATCTGCGATCCAAAATATGCACGATCAGGACGCGGTAGTAAGACTCCTTACTCGAAATCAGTTCGTTCTTAAGGACATGTGGATTACAGACAGCGAATCACGAATTATCAACGACGGAAGCTAGAACCAGAGAAACTGGCGTGCCGGTACAGAATTCATTTGCATTTACAGCGGATCCTTTTAAGGCAGAACGCCCATGCAGATTCTGAGACCAGCGCTGCTGGAGGAACCTCATCACTAGACCTGAGAATGAACCTTGAGACGTCAGCCCCGGATAGCTGGCTGCTTTGCGCCAGTCGATCTTACTAATAAGGATAAAGTTCAATACCTATAAGGATTTAAGAGCTATGAGACCGGATCTTAGAAGCAGAGCCGTTCGACAGATCGCTCGTTCAATCGGCAACAACGGCTTAATCTCTTCTATCCTACGAGCTGACGCCCAAATCAAGCGAGCCAACCGAGTGCTCGTGAAGCGGCCAGATTTGAGTTTGAGCTGCGGAAATCAAACTCGTGCATGACGAAATTCGTTCGCCAAGCTTGTCTTGCCAACTTGAGGATTCAGTCTACTAAAAGCGAGGCGATGCCATGCATCTTCGCAGCAGTCCTCTTTAACGCGATTGAGCCAAGGCGCTGCTTGGTTTCTCGTTCTCCCGCTTTAAGGCTGGCTTTGGGAGGGCGCAAGTGCAAGGAAGCATAACGGCAGACTCTTTGCACATACAGCAGACTGGTAGCCTGGATTTGTCATAATGCCATTGTTGGATGGTGAGGATTGTGTCTTTCTTGGAGGAAAGCTGGAAGCTGTGAGGTCCGCAGATCTTTGGTGAATGCTGCATAAGGAGCGCGTGCGTCAATGAACCTGATGGTTCATCGAGGAATTGGCACTCTGATATGCTGTTGAAACACTTGATCCTGATCAGGCAGAGCATGGGGACGTGCTGAGGCTCCGTAGAGGTCGTGAGCATCTGTTAGGGTGTTGAACGTCCTTTTCTCGACAAATGCTGAATTGAGCCCTCAGAAGAGCAAACCCTGACAACACAGCACCTGGCAGGGCTATGGACTCTATTGTGGATAAAGCAGCACTTGGTTTGCTTTCTGACCAAACGTCCGATATAAAGGGGGCAATGGAAGTTCTGGACAACCTATGGCTAGCCCCGAAAACAAAAAGGGATTTTGTGCGCTTTGCCAGAGTCATCCAAGAGCTTGCAGGTTACGAACAAGGCCGGGTTATGAAAAAGCTGATGAGTAACTGGCTGTCAAGGTATGACGACAGCTGTGAGTTTGGGCTGCAGCAGGAGTTCCTTTGTGGTTTAACTTCTACCGTCCTCCCAAAACTGACAACCAGCAAGGTAGCAGCTCAGGTGTGTCTGACAGGAGAAGGGACGGTTGAAAACCTGGTTTTCGAGTTTGCGAGGAAGTTCACGCGAATTTTGTATGACCAAGCAACTCCGCTCGAGGCTTCCTTGACATTTCAAGCTTTCAGCAACTTCTCTCAGGCTTCGAAGCTGTTCCGGAAAAGCATGCAGGCGCTTGGCTTGAATCCCCTTCCTCCGATCCACAAAGTGCTTGCTGGCGAGTATTTGAAGCAGGCCTCAGAAATTGATATCTTCGCCTTGAGGGAATCCTTGGCCAGGATGATTGAGGCCCTGTCGCTGTCGGGAGACAGCCGTCTGTGGTTGATTGACGCAGGATACATCTACATCATTGCAGAGCTCTATCGGACTAGGATGCAAGGGGATCGCTTCGACGTCCTGAGTCGGTGCAACATAGCTTTGCTGCGGTTGATCAGCTCGGAGGATTCCCTCGAAAGGCTGAGACAGTCTGGCTTCCTGTCAACCTTGGAACCGCTCTCTACCGTCCTGAAAGAGGGTATACGCGGCACTGACTTTTGGGAATTGGTCAAAGGCAAGCTGACAAACTCGAAGGACGGGCAAAAGTTCAGAGATTTTACCTTACCTGTGACCCATCCTGCCTGGAAGAACTTCAAGAGGTCCGTGTTCTCCACGCCAGTGGTGTGCTCTTGGAAGGAGTGTGAAGCTATGGAGTATACGGAATCCATGTTGGAACACTTGGAGCACGCCTCGGCCCTCAGCAGATGCGGGCGATGCGGTGTGGCGCGCTACTGCAGGTGGGTATTTCTGCATCTTAGGCAGCGTCTCTTTGCATGAGAAAACTCTTTCTCAAATTGTCTCCGTGCATGGGAAAACTCTTCCTGAATTCGTGGCAGAACAAATTTTAAAGTTTACGAGAGACTTGAGAGACTTGACTACAGGGGTGTACTCCAAGAAAGAAGGCCAGAACGCATCGAACAACTCACATCTTATATAAAAACCTATGGATCAATTCGCACCCTGCGCAGCCGTATGACAATATGAGTGTGTCTGTTGAATTTGATCCTCCTCTACTTTATTTTTGACTTCTTTGGTCAAAACTAGTTGTACAATCGGAGTCTTGCTGTCCAATGAAAACCTGGGTAACGAACATTCGCATCTTTTCTTTACAGCCAGAAGCACCAGAAGCTTCATTGGCCATCACACAAGAGACACTGCGTGTCAAAGGGAGAGAAACCGTTGGTACCTATCTCCCTCGCAGAGTAGATGGCCAGGAAAGACAGGCAGATGAACCCAGATTAGTGCGACAGATGCTGTAGTGTTCATGGTAGAGAAGCTTGTCCTTATTCTGTACCATGGTCGACCTCTTTGGACCAAGAAGCATTGCCAGGTGACTCGTTGCTTCTCTAACGGCTGCATATTAGTGCTGCGCATGATTCGAAAAAAGCGTTGGATACGCGTCTTCTCAAAAGGCCCAGTTTGACTGTACCGTTCGCTGGGGCGGATACATCAACCGCTTCAAATCTCACTTGTATATTTCATGACGTGTTGAAACAAATGGATTCAAGTGAAAATCAGGAAGAATTTGACGAGGCATTCCAGAGATCTGACAACGTAACGCCAATCACTCATGTTGGGTAGAGTAACTATGTTCCTTGATCGGATTATCTCTGCTGGATTGTTAAGCCCGATCGTACATATCTTCAATATCCAAGAAGCGATCTTGTGCACAGAAAGTCAAAACGGCGTGCTTTGTTGGTCAAGCCACGGACTCAAGCTATTATGGTTCCTTCTGCGCATGCCGGAGAATCTCTTGATTAAGAGTATGCAGCGATTCGGTACTGGCTTCGCCCCCTTTCGGCATTCTGTATAAGCCTATCACCAACTTAAACAAAACGTAGTAGCTTTTGTGCTTGCCCGGTTCAATTACATAGGGGGGTAACGTATTCGGGCTATATGTTGCAGCATGCCGCCACTGCTGCGGCGTGTCTAGCAAATTAGCGAGGCGGGGGGGGGGCGTGCAGCCAGCCATATTTGGTGATCGAAGCCGTAAGGGCGGCCTCAATAATTTTTGGCCGTTTGATCATGCACAGGCCTCGCTGGCCCGGGCGCCATACAGACTAGTAGGCGCCAGTGCGCGACCAAGGATTGCGTGCAATTTAGCCCACTTCATGAAGTGGACAAAGAGCCTTCAACGCTTGCATCTCTAGGACTGTCACAGACGTACATGACGTAGTCAAAACATGTTGCACCGCACTGACGTGGCTCTTGCCAGAAGCACGAATACTGCAGAGCAAATCAGGTCGCACTCATGTTTTAATTTCGCACTAATCTCAATCACAATCGTGGAAATAATAATCTCATCTGTCCAACCCATGGGAGGCCAGGTTTAAATCAAAGCATGGTCTGGTGCCATGGGCAGCTTCTCAGTGGGCAGCATGCAACTTAAGAGTACGTACGTCCACCCGCCCGGCCCCCGGCGCATGATTGATGCGAAGCCGGGTGCGCTTCGCCGCAGTCAACTGACGTAAAAGAGAGGAGCACGAGTCGAAGAACAAGCTCATCGGTTCATTAATCAAGACTATACGAAGTATCATGTCCCGTCAGTTCATCTGCTTATAAAGCATTTCATCTCCTAGCTTCGGATGATCAGTTGCATGCTTTCAAAATTCCAGCTTTCCGTATGACTCTTCTAGTGTATACCGATGCCCAAGTCCGCCCATCTGTACTCCTAGGCAGCTAGAGCTTCTTTCAGTTCCCCGCTCTCGTGCATCTCGAGAACGATGTCGCACCCCCCAACAAGCTCGCCCTTGCTGTACAGCTGCGGGAACGTCGGCCAGTTCGAGTACGCCTTGAGGCCCTGCCGCACCTCCTCGTCACTCAGAATGTCAAAGCTCCCGAAGTCTACCCCCTCCTCCCGCAACGCCCTGACCACCTTCTGACTGAACCCGCACCGGGGATTCTCCGGCGTGCCCTTCATAAAGAGGACCACGGGTTTGGAGTTAACCAGCGCCTCTAACCGGTCCTCCAGCCTTCCCTTCCCTCCCTCGACCACGCTCTTATCCTGCACCTGCTCCGAGTCCGTCACTTTCGTTTCACTCGTAGTCGCCTTATCGACGACCGCCGTCACCCCCTCTTTCTGAAGCAGCTCTCGTAACTCCCCACTTTGGGCCATTTCCAGTACAATGTCGCACCCCCCCACGAGCTCCCCGTTCACATAAAGCTGCGGAAACGTCGGCCAGTTCGAGAACTCCTTCATCCCCTGGCGCACCTCCTCGTCTCCCAAAATGTCAAACGAGCCAAACGGGACGTTCTCCTCCTTCAATGCCGCCACCACTTTTTTACTGAACCCGCAGCGGGGGGCTTCCGGAGTGCCTTTCATGAACAAGAGAACCGGCCGAGACTTAACTAGGGCGGTGAGCTTTGCTTGCAGGGCATCTTTAGAAGGGGCGGCCTTGACGCTGGGGGCCTGGGTTGCGGGGGCGGAACCACTAGACTTAGCCGAAATTGCGCCATTTGCGGATCCTGTTCCCTTCAGGTGCAGCGCGACCTTTTTGCTGAGCTCCCCAGGGTTGGCGCCTTCCAAGCAGTCCACCAGAGCACCATTCTGCACAAGAGGAAGAGTGAATACGCCCCAATCAGTGGGGAAGCTCGCTGGACATTGATCATGATAAAGATGGATGGCAGTCATGAAACATTGCAGTAATGATACACTAATCAGATTGATAAGGATGGATTGCAATACTGAGGATTGATTGCAATGATGAAGAAGGATTGCAGCACTAGAACAATTTTCAAAACTGATTAGTTTCATCGCTGAAAGAGAAAGAGGACCTGATGCGGACGGACACTGATGCCAACAAGAAAGAACTCAGTAACTACAGGCCCTGAAGTGGTCCTCAACCGTCAGAGAATTGCAGCAAGCAATAAACACCTTCTCTGTACATAAGTTAGCCCCCCCAGTTTGTCACCAATATGCGCTGACCCACCTCCTGCCAAATCGACAAATTGCTCAGTGAAAGCACGTCAAACTTGTCACCTCATCAAGCACCTGAACCTACGGTTTAATTGCCAATTTGAAAGGAGCTTATTTCTTCCACTAAATGTGAAGCTGTCCCAATCCATGGAACCTTAACAAGACACTTCTCATGCCCGGCGCAGTGCTAGCTTGCTATTATTCATGAGCAAAACATGCAATACAAAGTAGCTGCAAAACCCAAGAAGTTGTACTCGTGAGATGAATTTCAAAAGCTTTCAAGAAAGAGAGTCTTTTCATCAATATTAAGGAGCTGCTTTTTGCACCAATTCTTCATCACCTGACACTACCTAGCCACCCAACTCACCTTGAAGAAAAGGAAGAAGGGAACAGCAGCGACGTCATACTTCTCCGACACGTCTGCGACCTCCTCCGCTTCCACCCGCACGAATGCTGCGTTCTGATTCTCAGACGCTAGTTGTGCGAGAATGTTGTCTAGGTGCTTGCAGGGCTCACACCAGGAAGCCCAGAAGTGCACCACCGCCTCAGGTGCCCCGCTGACAATTTGCTCGAAAGCGGGGAGATCCGCAGCGTCCACTAAGCGGTCAGTCATGGTTTGCGAATTGCAGACACGGAAAGGGGCCCTCGTCGAGAAAAATTATGCTGGAGGAAACTGGCCCCGGCCCCAGCCCCAGCCCTAGCCCTAGGCGATTCAGGAAAGATGCTCTGAAGCCTCCTCCTTCATGCTCTGCTCGTGAAGTCCGCAGCTCAGTGTGCACAGCAAGCGAGTCATTGTTCAGGAAGGAGGGTGGGCGACTTTCTAGAACTTCCAGTTCCTAGCGCAAATCTCCAGATCTCGAAAGTACCGGTTCTACTTTTTTTAAAACCTCTTCCGCATCTTTATTTATTTAGAAACAGGCTTCGCTTTTGGTTACTCTGCAGCAACTTGAAGGAAATCCAACGTACTGCTGATCTCTTTTCGCGCAGTGCTCAGCTGCAGTCCCTGTCCCTCCGTCACCAGCTAAATCAGAAGTACAGCTGTCCTAGACTAAGACTGGGGCCCCCTGAGACCGCCTCTTAACTGGTCCCAGTCTGCTGCAGATCTAGAGTCAGCATGTCTGCGCGTGCCGTGAAGCGCCTGCTGGCTCAGCAGCAACTCAAGGCTGGGCCGGAACAAGCGGTGAATGAGGATCTTGAGGAGAGCAGTGAGGAGGAGCCAGCGGGAGCGGTCAGAAATCCATTCGACCTTCTCGGAGATGAGGTATGTCCTAGCTCGGCCCCTTGGCCAACTGTCCATGCCACCATTGCATGCTTTAGTTCTTGCTCGTCCGGCGCTGCTTGTCTAAGTCCTTGATGAAGGTCTGTTTCTTTCTGTCGACAAATAGCAGACTGATGAGGCACAACTTTGAGGAGAAGGAAATGAAGCGTTTGCACCTCATACACATGGAGACAGAGAGGTCTCTGTTCGAAATTGTTCGGAACAAACAAATCCGCATGTTCATCACGTGCTGAAACTTGTCGCCCTTTGCATATCTCTTTCGGGAAGGTCAAATAAACTTATGGGCATGTCTAATGTCATGGTGGCAAAACGTAGGTATTGATGCTTCAGCATTCCGATTGCTTCTTCACCTTTCTGGGGCACTGGTTGATTCCGGGAAGCCTGAAGTCATCTCTTGCACCGCCTTCCAAGAAATACCGCGTCTTTGAGTGGCGGTGTCTTTGTGTTGTACAGGATGAGGCGGGAGTCGCCGACGAGGAGGCAGAAGCAAGCGACGAGGAGACAGGGCCCCCTTTGGCGCTCGTAGAACAACCACGGTCCTCAGCAAAGGGCAAGAAGAAGAAAAAGAAGAAAGCGAAGGGGGTCGCAGATTCAGGGGCTACCGATGTTACACCACCCTCGCCTGAGACCACTGCAACATCGAGTGAGAGCGCAGGCCATGTTACTCCGGATGTTGCCGGATCCAATACTAGGGGGCGGAGTAAAGGCAAGGGCAAGGTTCGTGAGGACGAAGAAGTCGAGGAGATTCTGCGGAAGCTAGACGAGCTGCCGGTCGGGGGAGAGGCTCCTGAAACAGCAGGCCGGAGCACGGAAGCCTCGAGACCGAGAAGCAACCGGCACGTTCTGGGAGTAGATGTGAAGCACCTGAAAGCGGAGGACGAGCTCCGACGAATCTTCGGATCGAAAGTGATCAGTTCGGTGGAAGCGCACGAAGGGGCCGGCGCGCGTGGCGGGGGGGGGCGGAGACACCGGCTGTCAGGGAGGGGTCGCGGAAGGGGTGCGGTGGGGCCGAGGAAAGGGGGGCTGCTGATCAGTCCGTTGGACCATTGGCCGCGGTGGGATGGCGGGATTCTGATGGAGTCTATGGGGAGCAAGGACGGGTGCCAGTTCTTCAAGTACACATTTTCGAGGGACTACTTGCGGACACAACACGAGGTAGGACCGGTGTTCTGTTGTCTAAGATCCCATCAATTTGTTGACTTGGCTTCTATTAGTATTGCCTTGACAAAGTTCCTCCCCATCTTCAGCTTCGTCATTCACATTCTTGATCCCTCTTCTCGTCAATAGCCAAACCTCCTCTTTTTAAGTCAAGATCGTCGCGCGTCCTTACTTCCAGTTTTATCCCTCGTTCAGGATGCTTGCAGCCTGGTTCGCTGAACAAGGCCCTCGTAGCGGCTGTCTTGCATCTCAAGTTCAGATCCCTGACCACCTATTTCTCCCCTCCCTAGTTCGAGGCCCTGGCGGCCACCCACGACCCGAACGCCATCGCGCACCTCGTCGCCCAGCACCCGTACCACATCGACGGCCTGCTGACGTTGGCTGACGTGTACAAGCAAATGGGCGAGATGCAGACGGTCGCGGAGCTGCTCGAGCGCTGCCTCTACGCGTTCGAGTGCGCGTGGCATCCGTCGTTTAACATCTCGCTCGGGACGTGCCGCGTTCCGTTCGAAGAAGAGCCCAACCGGGCGTTTTACCAGGCCCTTTTTCGGCACATGCAGCACCTGGGCCGGCGGGGGTGCCACAGGACGGCGCTCGAGGTGAGCTCGAACAGGGCCTTTTTGCTTGAAAGCTGTTTACGTGAGTAGTCTTTTGTCTGGGCGGCTTGACGCTCCCGTTGTTTGCGTCGCCCAGTGTCCGTATGTTGTCCGATACTGCTGCTCAAAGACAGTGTGACACTTTAACAGCTTAACAATTCCCTTTTTCCGTGCACTTCGTGCAGAGGCTTCTTAACATTCAACTTTGCCAAGCGTGAAAGACATGCTGGATCTCGCTTGAACCAACTCAAGCAACATCACGTGCTGGTCCGTCCCTCTTGATCATTGCACAGTCACTATCGTGAATTGACTCTATACCAATCTCCAATGTACAGTTTCTGGACTTTGCTGACTCTCTAGTCGGCTCATCTGGCAGGTGTGCAAGCTGGTGCTGTCGCTTGACCCGGAGGGCGATCCCGCCGGCGCCCTCTTCTGCGTGGACTACTACGCCCTCCGCTCGGAGCAGTTTGATTACCTGGAGCGGCTGGCAGACGAACTAGACGCGGAGCGCTCGCTTCGCGTGCTGCCCAACTTCGCCTTCTCGCTTGCAATGGCGCGCTTTCGCTTGGAGGAGCGCCAGAAGAGGTGAGGCAAGAAGGGACATAGCTTGGTCCGAGCAGCTTTCTGCTAATGCTCATGAGTATCTTCGCTTATACCTTCTTTACCCAGCCCTAAAAATGCTTCTGTTTGCGTTCGTTCAAACCAACGTGGTCTCATCTTGCGTCTAGAAACGGCTTTGAAAGAGGACGGGAACATGCCGACGCCCTAGAAGGCTTCTCCAACGGCTGGCTAAAACCCTTTTATTCTGCCACGCTTTCCTTGATTGGCAAGTCACAAAGGAGGACTTCATTTTGCAGCGAACCAACTTCTCTTTCATGTTAGCTGAGATTGTCCCCTCCGACGCTGTCAAGTGAGTGCTGCGCCCAACACGTGCCTTTCTCAGGGCTTCGTTTCGGGTTGGCGCTTGGCTTCCAAATCACAATCTTCTACAGGCTCTGTTTCACCCCAAGGTTCGACAATGCTTTGTCCGTTCATTCTGTGCTCAAAACGCCCCCTCATGCGTAACAATCTGGCATGCAGCTCAAAGGGTGCATCGACCTCCGGCAACGATGCGCACGGTGCCGAGAACGGCGGCGGGGGCGTGACGTCACTGCAGTTGCTGGAACAGGCCCTGTTGCTGCACCCCGCCATGCTGCAGAAGCTCATCGAGAAGACGCCCATCAAAGAGGTGAGGGTGACGAACTCCCCCAGCTCTTCAAACCATTCTGGGAATACACTCAATTAACGGGCGACACACCGTTACATTATTACATATCTTTTCGGAGGGCGACTCTTATTCAAAGCTGGGTACGGTTTTTGAAAGCTGGTCCTGATTCGCAAGCTGACGAACCAACTGGATAGAGATCTTTAATTCTATCGGTAAGGTAGGCACAGCTCCATCTCTTCCAAGCAAAGGGTCGCTCCTTGCTGCCTTCGATGTTCCGTTCAAATCTCAGCGATACAGTTCGTCAGTGTGCATGAACGGACTCTGACAAAGTCATGTCAGTGGCGGCTGCAAGACGGCAAGCGCTGGTCTATATAGCGTAGCTTTGTCGAAGGTTATTTTGTAGGTGGAATAATCGGGGCAAAGTTACTATGGAGGAGCTGGGCCAGCGAGAGAGGGTCCGGGCACGCTTCAGTGTGAGACTTGTTCGGGTGTTGGCCGTCAGAAGCAGAGGTTCACCGTTGGGAGCTGATTCTTTCTTAACTGCTTGCCTAGGAAGGGCCCCTTTTTCGTAGTTGCTTGCCGATGAAGACGAGGGATTGGCGGGAAAACTTGATCACTGTCGAAGGATTTTGGATCGCAACCGGGAATCTGTACGCGACCATCGAATACAGGATCATTTATCTTTTTAGCCTCGGCCATACAAGAGAGAAGCAGCACGCTGCACTTTAGCATCCTGCGCTCCTGTAGTAAGCCGTCAGAGCCACAAGTACAGGAATTTTGTATCTCAAGCAAGCGCTCCTTCCGTTCTGAACCTGCAAGCTCCTAAATTCCAGACTCTGACGTTTGCGCTCAATCTCAGACCCCGAAACGGATTCTTGACTTCTGCAGGATTCGGAGTGGGCCAAGCTGCTGAACGCGCCTGTCTTCGCAAAGGCGACCGCTGGAGGACCAACGCTGGAGCACCTGATTGACATTTACCTGGAGCGCAGCCACCTGTTGTGGCGCCCGCAGGAAGCGCAGGTCAGCTGCTGACGTCACGTCTGTTGGGTCATGCTTATGAGGTCCTTGCATGTGTCATGCTTAGCATGTGGGACTAGATTGTCTGCAATACGATTGGTAAAGATTGGTTGAATGGACTGGCGCCTCTGAGGCTGCGCTCGAGCCTCGCGTTCTAGCGTTCTAGCGTTCTGACTTATCGGACGTTGCGCTCTTGCGGGCAACAGCCGACGCGGTAGCTTGAAGTGTCGTTTCGAGGTTTCATTCTGCGCATATGTTGAAGCAAGCCTGTGGCGCATCTCTCACTCGTGCTTCTTGAAAACCTGTAATCGCACGCAGCCCTAATGCCTCCCTTCGCTGCTCCCTTTCAGGACTGGCTGAAGCAGGCAGCCAAGAACGCCGTTGCGTCCCTCAGCACGCCAACCGGAAAAGCCGCTGCTGACGACTGGGCGTGCGTCCGATCCGAGTCATTCCCCTCGACCGAAAACGAGTACGCTTACCTGCCGGTCTCCGAGTTCTCAGACAACACGCACACTCTCCCACCAGACGAGGAGGCCGCGGGGGCCCCTCTTCCGGTTAATCCGGCGGAGCTTCCGGGCGCGGTTGATGTGCAAGCAAGGGGTGTTCCGCCGGGTGCTCTGCCGGCGGAACTTGACGGACAGAATCCGCTGATGCTGTTTCTGCGGTCGCTGATGCCGTGGGCCGACTTGGGGTTGGAGCCGCAGCACGGCGGGGGAGAGAACGGAAACGGGGTGCAGTTGAACGAGGAGCAACTAGAGCAGGTACAGCTGCACTTACAGAGAGAGGCGTACGAGCAAGCGCAAGCGGAGGCGGAACGGAGGGGGTGGGCACGTGGCCAGAGAAACGTGCAGGGTTTGGGTCAGGGTTTGGGACGTAGGGCACCCGGGAGAGAGCAACAAGGGAACGGAGGACAATGGGTCGATGGAATAGTGGAGTCGGACGATGAGGAGTGATCCTTGAACAGCGCAAAAGGTCTCTCTCAATGCGGGTTGCAAGAGCCGGAATGTGGACCTTTCTTTTCCGATCACGACATCTGGGGATTTTAAATGCTCATGTCATGCTGCGATATGTTATGACCTTCACAGAGGGCAGCTTCATCATGCAAGCGGAAAATGTGGGGCGCTGCATGTGTAAGTGGAAATCCACCGGAGGCTATACTTGTATGCCAGCCTGAGGTTCGAGAGAAAGGCCTCACTCACCGGTGCAATAGCTGTCGAGTTTTGAATTCGACTTGCATGGATTCAATCTGTGACTGATAGTGGGCTTCTCCAACGTAACCAGCCACGTCTATGTGGTTGTTTCAGCCGATCCATGATCGTAAGACTGGAGAAGCATGGTCGTCGGAGAAGGAACGGGGTAAAACTTTCACGCAGATCCGTCGATTATAGGCGATGTTCGGCACTTGTCGGTCAACTTTCACAGGTGCACGCGTGTTTCCTCATTGCCGCGGGGTCACGTTGAGTCACGCATTTCATGCAGCATGCATCCTAGCTGAGGCCCCTCGCTTTGGCAGCCGTGCAACCCCCGTCTCCATTATGCATGCCGGTACACATGGAATCGGAGTGATTCCGTTCATAAAGCATCTTCATGATCAGGGTGCCGGTGTGTAATTTCGAGCCTAGCCTGTAGATGATCAGCACTGCGCTGCATGCTTGCTGTTCTCATGAGATGATGACGAGTAACAATGGTTTGCCAAAATGAAGAATAGCTGAAACAGCCGAGCAATGGTTTCTTTGATTAGCTAGTGCCAATGGCTGTGAGTAACTGCCCGGCCGGTATGGGGCATACAGCCATGTGCAGCCGTGTAAAGGAGTATGCTGAGTTTGCACGCGTGCTGTGGATAAATGCCTGACGTGGACAGCATGACGGCCGATATGCCGACTGAGCAGCGCCCGCTCGGGAACTGATGGCTCGCAGTGACTGGGAGCCAACAAGATTATAATGACCCGCAGATCGTCCCGGTCAGATGTTTTCAAGACAAAAGAGATGATCATGATACTAAGAAAAGAAGCTTCCACAGCATTTAGTATTTCAATGAAAGAGTAGCACACTGAAGGCTATTCTTCAACGAAGGCTACATCAAGAGTATCCTCTCGAGATACATTTGATCTACTGCATGTTCGCGCCTTTTCTCTACACGAAAGGACGTCTTCATCATAGAGGCAGCTTCACTTGGGAAGACCCGCCATCAAAAGCTGCGGCTTAAAATCCTCTACCCTTTCGTTGGGCGAATAGAGTTCCATGCTACAATGGAGGCAGCACACCCCTTCGAACCGTACGCTGCTCTCTTCGGCCAGACGGCCTGCACAGGATACTGAGAGTTCGGGTTGTGCTAATAACCTTTTGATGACCAACCAACCATCGACCAGCGAGTTGAATCTGCAAGCAGGTACTCGGAATACAACTCTTGACGCCCTGTGAAAAGCACTGAAGCGGAGTGAGGCGGCGCAGTATTCAACTTCGCAACTGAGACTCCGCGTGTGCAGCTTGTGAAAGAGCTTCCCCGGATGTCCCTCCAAAAGGAAGAAGGTCTCTAGCAAGATCGTGGTGTCCCACGTGGAATACGTCGCCTGTTCCTCTGATTGGTGTCCACCAGGTCGTGCCAATGTTTTTCTGTAATCTGAGTAAAGTGGACAAATCTTGTCAATCAGCTCGTCCGGAGTGGAGACCTCAAACAGGGGCTTGAGCTGGCAATCCCGCCACGTAAATGGTGGACCAGACGACCACCTGTTAGCTTTCGATTTAGCTGGTGGTTCCTTCATCCCACCTCCCCACATGAAAGCCCTCCCCTCCCTCGTCTTCATGAGGAATAGCATGCTCTTTGAAGGATAACTTATCACGGAGGTTGTCCGGGTCAGCAACCGAGCCCCTAAAAGGCGCTTATAGCCCCCAAAATGACCAACTTCCTCCTCAAGCGCCTTCAGCTCACTCGTTTCCTGTGGCAGCTCCTTACCGCCAAAGAAAGCTTTCCTCCAAAGTGGGAAGCTTGGAGAAGCGATGTGGCTGAACCTCTTGCAGGCAAGATTGAGAGTTAGAAAGGTCACAGAGTCCTGCACATCGACTTTGTTCAGAATGAGTGACAGGACATCGTCTGGCAAGCTGCTAATCCCTGTAGGCTCTTCAGCACCTTTAAAAGTTAACGCAAAGGAGGAACAGAGGTCCTGCGGCTTGTGCTCCATCTTCGTGCGCATCCAAGTTCCTTGAGCCGCGCAAATGGTGTGCAGGCCTGTTCGTCGACTTGGACGATCTCTGATTGGAGGGCGCGGCGCGCGCGGTCGCGGCCGGCCTGGCCAGCCATAAACCGGCCAGGGGTTAAGGCGCCGATACTCGCGTACACGTGTCGGTATTACCAGGCTTCTGAGTCTTCTGTCCCCAGCAGCCTAGCCTATTGGCTAGATACGTTACTACAAAAGAAAATTGAAAGCTGGTAGCGCAAGAAGATTGGTACATCACTCAGAAAGCACAGATGATAAACGAATGCATTTGCTCTCAACTTCTGCTGAAAATTCAGAGAAAAGTTCGATGTTTGGACCATTTCTCGAATTTTTGCGTCTCATCCTTGGGCAGGGGCAATGCTGTATCTTTCCATTTTTATCGAGTGTTTTGAAGATATATAAGCAGGAGCGAGACTTGCCAATCCGACGGCGACTACCAGGTGGATCGATGCATGCTGCATGAGCAATATATATACGTCTTTTTTTGGCGGGCTTCTATATGCGTAGGGCATGATTGTGCAGATGGGGTTATGTTATCACTCACTGGTTGTTGCAGAGTCACGTGAAACTTAGGTATTGAAACGCCTGCCGAAGCCCTTGCAACATGCGGGCGACGAAGATCATGCGATCCCAAAGGCAGATTTTTGAAGAAGTCAGGCAGTGCGTTCGCCGCTGCAATCAGTGGTAAGTTCTTTTTGCAGGCATTGGAGCATTTCAAGGACGCACTTGAATGGAGGGGCATTTTTCTTGTTTGGTCGATTCTTCAAGATGGTCTTGATCGGCAAACCAAAAGCTTTGGTCGGGGACAGTTCTGTAATATCGGACTGAAGTTAAGAACACTGCAGGCACAGCTTGATCTCTTCCGAACAAAGGGTGCTTGTTGCTGCCTTTGCTCTTCCGTTCGAAATCGCATCGATACAGTTCGTCAGTGTGCATGATCGGACTCTGACGAATACGTGTCGGTTGCGGCTGCAAGACCGCAAGCGCTGATCTATGTTGAATGACATCAGCTTTCTCGTGGAATAACGTGTAGGCAGATTATCATGCAAAGCTACTACTGAGGAGTTGGGCCAGCGACAGATGGTCCGTGCACGCCTTGATGGTTCCGCATGACCTTTTTCGATCTGAGACTTGTTGGATGTTTGCCGTTCAGAAGGACGTTCAGAAGCAGAGGTTCAGCCATTAGGAGCCGATCACCTCTGAACTGCTTGCTTGCGAACGGCTTTTTATTCTTAGTCGCTTGCCGATGAGGGCGAGGCTGTGGCTCGAAACGTTGACCATTTTCGAAGGATCTTGAACCGCAACCAGAAGCTCTACGTGGCAAATACTGATAGCCCGCTTTCTTGGATAACTTTTGCCGTTCAAGAAACAAGCAGCACGGTGCACTTTAGCATGCGACTCCTGTAGCCCAGCCGTTACAGTCTCAAACAATAACTACAAGAACAGACAATTCCGTGATTTTGCCTTCCACTCTGAATTTAAAGTCTGCTGAACACCAGATCTCGAGATGCGTGGGACTGCAATCCTGCATCAAATGCCTTTTACTCGTGCAGGATTCGGAGTGGGCCAAGTTACTGAACGTGCCTGTCTCGGCAAAGGCGACCGCTGGGGGCCCCACTCTGGAGCACCTGATTGACATCTATCTGGAGCGCCGCCACCTGTTGTGGCGGCCGCAGGAAGCGCATGTCAGCAGCCGACGTCGCGCCATTTGGGTCATGCTTACGAGTCTTTTGCAGGTGCTATGCTCAGCATGTGTGTGAGACTATAGATAGTGTCTGCATTATGATTTGTATAGTAAACTGGCATCTCTTGGGTTGCGGTCGAGCCTGGGGTTCTAGCTATTGGTTGTACGACATGCTGAGCTTTCGCGCTTTGCGCTCTTGCAGTCAACTCTGCAACCGAGGCATTGGCCATCGCGGTAGCTTGAACTGTCGTTTCGAGATCTAAGGTTTCATTTTACACACATGTCGATTGAAGCCCGTGGCGCGTCTGTCATTTGTGCTTCGCAAGCTGTGTTCAGACGCGGCCCTGATGCCTCCGCTCCCTTCTTTTTACTCCACAGGACTGGCTGAAGCAGGCAGCCAAGAACGCGGTCACCTCTTTGAACACCCCAACCGAAAAAGCCGCTGCTGACGACTGGGCATGCGTCCGATCCGAGTCGTTCCCCTCGACCGAGAACGAGTACGCTTACCTGCCGGTGTCCGAGTTCTCGAACAACACACACACTCTCCCGCCGGACGAGGAGGCCGCGGGGGGCCCTCTTCCGGGTATTCCGGCGGAGCTTCCTCCCGCGATTGATATGCAAGCGGGGGGTGTTCCGCAGGGGGCTCTGCCGGCGGAACTGGACGGACAGAATTTCTGCGGTCGCTTATGCCGTGGGCCGACTTGGGGTTGGATCCGCAGCACGGCGGGGGAGAGAACGGAAACGGGGTGCAGTTGAACGAGGAGCAACAAGAGCAGGTGCAGCTGCACTTACAGAGAGAGGCGTACGAGCAAGCGCAAGCGGAGGCAGAACGGAGGGGGTGGGCACGTGACCAGGGAAACGTGCAGGGTTTAGGTCAGGGTTTAGGTCAGGGTTTGGCGCGTAGGGGACCTGGAAGAGAGCAGCAAGGGAACGAAGGACAGCGGGTGGATGGAATAGTGGAGTCGGATGATGAGGACTGAGTTTTGAACAGCGCAAAGAGAGCGCTCCGAGTGCCAGGCGCAAAGACTCGGCTTATGCACTTAATGACGACGTCCGGTAGTTCCGGACTGCTGCCATGTGCCTTTGAGAGAGACCAGCACGATCAGCAGACAGGGTCGGTATGCGTGGAAAGCGTTCCCAAGCCACATGTGCCTCGAGCCCGCATGACAGGAACAGGCCGCATCGTCTCGCTGCTTTTCGGGCCTTCACTAGCCGGTACTCGACTCGTTGAAACCTGCTCATGTCTAAGTATTGCTGAAAACCCGTTCAAGCGACAATGATCTGCCTGATGTTGGAAGGAGAGTGGTCGCACGAAAGCAAACAGGGTCGAAAGTATGTCGTCAGATTCGCTGTCACGCAGCGGCACTTTCTGTTGATCCATTCCTACAATTTGAAGCACAGCATATGCGTTTATGTACGAGTGACCAGTCGCGTTGCATGCCATTGATGCGCGATTCCAGCATGGAATGCTTTATTTGAGAGAACACAGATAACGTCTAGATAGAAATGCAACATAGGTTTGACACCTAGCCGGCATTCATGCAACCCTTAGGTTCTGACACCGCACATGCGCACAATCTAGACACAACCTGCAATCATTAATGAAGCCTGCATGCATGCACCGACGTGCTGACTGCATGATAATTCATTCATAGTTGAGCGCTTGGACATCACGCTGGACAGAATCACGACGTACTGCCATGGCCCGGTTGCAGAGCTGAGGGCCGCCGGGAGCGATTGAAGTACACGAAGAATAAGATCAGACCGAATGAGGAGGAATTCTTTCGCAGCCTATTATTCACAAGCTGGACCAAGAATCATGAACATCGTCCTACTTTCGGCGCCTATAAGACACATGATTGAACTGGTTGTATCGTCCTAATGAATGAATGGAGGACGTTGCGGTGATGCGGAGCGGGCCAGCTGCTCTATTCAACTACATGCCAGTGCGAAGGTATATACGGATACTGTTGAAGGTGTGGAGTTAGCCGCAGGCGTCTCGTGTACTCATTTATACCAAGGAAGATAGTCAGGTTTGTGGCGATGTGAGTTTGCTAGGCAACTCAGCAAATTCCGCCGATGTCGTGATCAGAAGTTGCGTTCGCAGGACCTTCAGATCGGTCATCCACTGCCGAATGTGTCTAAATGCAACTTTCAAAGTGTAAACTACTTTGGGACGCCTGCCATCAAAAGTTCTTGGTAATTCTGGAGCTGCTTCCTATATTCCTACATTCTCCTGTCCTTTCGTCGGTTGGAAAGAGTTGAATGTGAGAGTGTAACATGCAGGTCCCTTCAAGCCTATCCCTGCTATCCTCGGCTGCACGGCCTGCACCGGTTGCGAGTCCGAGTCCTATTGACCTACTGATATGCAATCGACAATGCACCATTGACTCATACCTGCACGAGGGTACTTGAAACACCAATCTCGTGCCCGTGTGATTCGCCCGGAAGCAGATTGAAGCGGGGCAAAATGAAATCGTGCATTCGAGAGTATTCGTGTGCAGTCTGTGATAGAGCCTGCCGGGATACCCCTCCAGAAGCAAGTAGGTTTCCAGCAGGATCGTGGTGTTCCAATACATTAAGAAAATCTCCAGGTTCAATTGACTGCTCTTCACCAGGATGTGGCATCATTTTTCTATATTTTGAGTAAATCGGACAAATCTCGTTGATCAGGTCGTCCATATCGGCGACCTGAAACAGGGCCTTGAGCTGACAACCCCGCCATGTATACGGTGGGCCATAAGCTCCCTCTCTAGTTGGTGGTTCCTCAAAACCACCCCCCCACATGAAAACCCGCCCCCCCATCGTTCTCATGATGAAAAGCATGCTTCCTTTAGGGTAACTTACAGTGGATGGATCCCATGTCAGCAACCGAGCGCCTAATAGGTGCTTATAACCACCGAAACTATCAATCTCCGCCTCAAGCGCCTTCAGCTCACTTGATCCCTGTGGCGGCTCCTTCTTGCCAAAGAAAGCTTTCTTCCAGAGGGGGAAGCTTGGAGGAGCGATGCGGCTGAACGCCTTGCACGCAAGAGTGAGAGACAGCAAGGTAACATAGTCCTGCGCAGCGACTTTGTTCAAAATGAGTGACAGGATATCGTCTGGCAAGCTGCTGATTGTTGCAGACTTTTCAGCATCTTCATTACCCAGCTCAGAGCAGGAAAGAAGGTCCTGCGGCTTGTGCTCCATCTTTGTGCGCTTTCAAGTCCCCTGAGCTCGCACTCTGAGTGTGCAGTCCTACGACTTGGTCGGCCCTTCAGTAATGGGACGGCGCGCGCTCGCGGCCGCTGCCTGCGGCCCGGCGGCCGTTCGATCGTGGCAGGGTTTATGGCGTTACGCACGTGTCGAGTTCACCACTCACCGGCGCTGCCGCACGGCGTGTAGGTATTTGGGAGTAGCGCGAGACCGGGTCCAATTAATATACATCATCCAGCGTTTAAAGCAAGGACGATAGCGAAACAACTTCAATGATTTCAAGATTCTGCTCCGGAGTGATTGAATGAAGTTGTTTTTATCAAGCCTAGTGAAGAAGAGCTGGACGGCTGCCGATCGCGATCGACTGTGGATGCAATTTGCAGGAGCATATGCGTCCGTTCTTGGCGGCCTCTATATGCCACGTCATGCAAGACCATTGGAATATGTCATGCACTCCGAAAGCAAGGTGTTGCATGGGGTCAGGAACTTACGTATACGTGCCTGCCCGAGCCCTTGCACATGCGTTCAACGAAGATCACTCCCAAAGGTACGTTCAAATAAAAGGTAAAGCTGTGCGTTCGCGGCTGCGCCAATGGTTTCCTTGCGCGGGCCTGGATTTCCCTGGTTGTTAAGTACAAGCTTGGCATTCCGAAGTTCGTAGAACATAGAGCTGGTGCAGTTGATTGTAGAGCAATAATAGTAGCCCTCGGCTGGATGTCAAAATGCATGTTGTTCTGGCATTCTGTAGAGTGCTACGCCGGTTCGTGTGGCAAGCGTGAACAGCAAAGCATTTCATTAATCATAGCCGAAATCATTTTGTAGTCCGCCTCCATACGCTTTTCACCAACTCCAGCACGTTGCGTTTTGACCCTTCCCTTTTTCTAAACTCTCTGCTTCCGACCGTATCCAACAGGAAAGCCTGCTCCCTCGCTGCAAAGAGTATCTGCTGATACCGGCCGCCCTGGCCAAAGTGCCCGTCGTTGAAGCTCGTAAAAAGCAGAATAGGTGCCTTCAAAGACGTCGGCACAGTAGCTCTCAGTTTGCTGACCCACTTCGCCGCCTCCCAGTAGCCAACGCTGCAAAACCACGTTGGTTCAGGAAAAGACCCCTGTTTCTGCTCACTGGAAAGCTCTATTTGGGGGCGATGGCTCGAACGTGCTTGAGTGCAAAGCGAAGCCAACGAGCAGAAGGAGTAAAGACAAGGGCTCAACTCTTCGGAAGGATGAATAACACTGTGTGCACAAGCAGTTTCGGTGAAAGCAACTTCAGCACTCTGTTTCGAAAAAAAAAACTGGAAGCTTTTCGCAACTCTGTCAGATGCTTCGCACAAGATCCACTTTTTCTGTGTGGGCTTCAACATTGGAATCCATTACACATATAACAAAGTTCTCCAAATTTTCCATCTTTACGATGCTCGACACGTCGCCCGGCGGGTTCCTAATTGCAACCGTCAAGCGCGCTTCCGATATCTATAAGCATCAAACCTGCAACAGGTAATGCGTCCTTTTGGTAAACACATGCGGCACCCCAGTAATGAGCCCGAAAGTGAGATCGCGCACTGTAAAATCCTTTTCTGTGCCAGACTCTACGTGAAGTGTAGCGACAGAGTCTTCTTACCGCGTATCTTGCATCGAGGCCGTAATAAGCATCGCCGGATACCGCGCACCCTGTTTGACGTTGTCGTACGGGCTGTAGTTGCGGATGCGTTCGAAGGCGGCCCGGTCTGCGGCGGGGTTGCCCCACTCTTCGTACTCCTGGGCGGTGAGCGGCAGGCTCGGGTCGAGCATCGTGTGGAGGACGTCCAGAAAGGGCACCTGGAACTCAAAACGTTTGGTAGTGGCAAAAACAGGACCTTGCCAACCGGAAGGTTCAAGGTTCCGTCTTGGACACTACCGATCAAGGCGCCCGGCGACTGAGGCCCCCCGAATGGATCTTGATCTCTACAGCAAGCAGTAGGGATAACAAGAGCAATGAGGATTTTAGGTGTTCGCGTGGCAAATCCCTGGCCACAGGATCATATGCAACGGAAGTCGCGAAGCTCGCGAAAAGCACGCGAGAGGAAGCAGAGGACAGAGGCGGCCACGGCCATCCTATCTTGCCTTTGGGCGGACCTTTTGCCTTGGCGCGGTATGCTGAAGCATTACTGTCAGTCAATGAGATACGTTACGTCTCGAGGATCGCTCAGCAGCCCCTCAGCAAACATCAAAGTCGTGCCAGCACGGCCCGCCTACCTTCAGTATCACGGCCTTGAACTCCGGTCGCCTGTTGACCACAGCCCCCACAAGCAGTCCCCCCGCGCTCGACCCCTGCGCCGCCAGCCGACCCCCGTCCGCGAAACCCTTCTTCACGAGCAGTTCCGCACAGGCCTCAAAGTCCTCAAACGACCGCACCTTGTTCTCTTTCCTTCCCGCTTCGTGCCACCGTTTCCCAAACTCGCCCCCCCCTCGCACGTGTGCTGTGGCGACGACCCAACCCCGGTCGAGGAGGCTCAAGGTGTGGCTCGACCACGTGGTTTTCTGGGGTACTCCGTATGCGCCATAGCCTATGAGCAGGGCGGGGTTCCGGCCGTCGAGGGGCAGATCGGAGGCGTGGGTGACGGTCACCGGAACGGCGGTGCCGTCTGCTGAAGTGGCAGTGACGCGAGTGCAGGTGTACCCGTTGAGCGTGTGGAGCGGCGCGGGGCGAATAAGCGGTGCAGTTTTGGAGGCGGCAGTATTTACGTTTGTGGCGTTTGCTGGACTGACATCGAGGCCGGGTACTGTTATCTGCTTGACACGTGTCAGCGTGTGGTACGACATGTCGTAGTCGAAGACGGTGTCGGGTGTCTGCACGGCAGGAACAGCACAAGCAAAGAGTCGATCAACAAGGTCGTTTGTCGATCTTTAGAGACAGAAGCGTGCGCAAACAAGAGACTGTTTTACTCTGCCATCTGCCACTGTCCCCGCTACAGGCTGGCCAGGAATGCAAACAATAGTTGCAAGTGGAAAGAAGCGGAGCAGCCGTACGGACCTGCACCCGCAAACAGATCCAATGTACCAGATACGAGCAGAAACATCGATCACACCACAGAGGAGAAACGTGGACGTCAAAGGCATTGTGCAGTAAGAGACCTTCATAGGGCACGTACTTACCACTGGAGATGAAACTGTAAACCGGAGCGACTCCGCTTCGAAGGCCGCATTCGCGCCCGGCTCAATGGAGCATACGGTCGGGTTGTCGAAAACCCGTCTGCCGTTTCCGAATAGGTTGTACTCCGGCAAAATTTCCCGAGCCCCGTCCTCCGCCGCCGGAGACCGCACGCGTGCCAACGGGTCACCCGCCTCGAGAGGCTTGGTTAGTGGGGAGTCTGCGGGTGACGTCAGCGGATAGACTGTGACGTTGGGCAGGCCGTCGCGCAGCGTGTACATGACGCAGTGTCCCGCGAAGAGGTCCATGTCGGTGATGACGTCACGGGGGTCGGCGGGCAGGAGCTCCTGAAGAAGAAAGATCTTGGAGGTATCTTGTTACCGAAAGCAAGGTTCGAGTAAGTTAGAGGAGCGGATCAGCGAGCCTTGCGGGCTTTCAGTCTCCAATGGCAGACGGTCTAATTCGAGCTATCCAAATTGCTGCGGCTTCGTCTAATCGGTCCTTGGAAAGACGCATTTCGACGAAAGCTCGGGAACCGACAAGGCGCGAACAGACGAGGGACTTCTCTGTGTCCAAGGCTGGAAGGTTCAGAATCAAGTTTCTTCTCACATCGTTAAAGTGTCACCAGACCTCCAAAATTTGCATCGCTTACAGCCAGCGCCTCTCCACGATGGCTTCGATCTGCCTGACTCTGGACAACGGCAACTTTAGATATGAAAGTGCTCGAGACAAAGCTACTGACCTTCCAGGGCTGCCCCGGGTCATCTGCAGGCGCACACATGAGGCGGTACTCGCCCCCCGGGTTGCCCTGGTTGGTGAGGATGAGGAGCGACCCGCGATGGTGCTCCACAAAGTACTCGACTCCGGGCTCGCGCGCGCGGACCAGCCTGAGCGGGGTTTGGGGATTTGCGGCGTCGAGCAGGTAGACCTGTAGAAAAGCAGTGACGTTGCTTAGGTACGATACCTGATCAGCATATAGAGCACAGCTTGATATTCGTTGTGATTTTTCGTCCTTGCGAACTGGGAATATAGCAAAAAAACGAGCCTTCAAAGCCTGCAGGGTGGGAGTTTTGTGATCAGTTCCAACAAAATTGTGGCGATCAAGCTCGGCCAAATGTGATGGTTTCCGATTCCTTTCAGCCAAAATGGCAGAGAGGGACAGCGAGAAGAGACGAAAGCCTCGAAGGACAAAAGCGAACTCTTATACGGTGTCTTACACAAGATAGACGTATCAAAGGAGCTGCACTAGCAGCGGGGATACGCAACTTGCTTGTAAAGCCAAGCCCGCTCGAAAGGGCAGCTCGCTCTATGTCCACAGACATGGCAAACCGGGCTGAAGCTGAAACGGAGCCTGTTATCAGTGCTTGAACTTCGCCTCTTAATGATCACTTGTGCTGCGGAAGAGCCAGGACACCATCTAATGCAAACTCAAGCTTCCTCTGCGCTTTGAAAGAACGCACCTCGGAGCAGTTTCTGGAGTTGACGTTGATTGTCAGGAACTTTCCGTCTTTTGTTTTTGACACGTCAGCGAACCATTCCGGGCCCCCAGCTTCTTCATAGACCAAGCGGTCCTCTTCGCTTTCAGAGGCGTGCGGTCCTAGCACACGTCGGCTGAAAATCTTGGTCGGGATCTGAAGTTCGTTCGCCTGGAAACAAGAGGCCACGTTTGTATGTCGAGATTGAGCAGGTGAGACGATGTTCTAGTCGGAGCTGCTGAGTCCCGTTGTGAACCTTTTGAGGATGGCATGAACAAGTCCAAGCGTTGATAGGAAGGTCACCGCGTAGAGCGGCGTACAAAGGGAAATCAAGAAATCAAGCTTCTCACGTTGAGTTTACGGTGAGACGAACTTAGTGCGTGCAGGCGTCACACCTCGTGAACAGTTTGATTGGCCCCCAAGATGCACTCGCTTAACCGACAACAAATTCGGCAAAAGCGCCTGTACGTTCCAATATAAAATCTTGCTGCGAAGTTGGAGATGCAAGGTAGGAGACGAACCTGAGTGTACAAAACAGTCTGACCGTCCTCTGCCCACTTGGAGCTGACGACATTTTGTATCGTTCCACGTGGCAGTAGCTTTCCGGTCGTCAGGTCCTTTATGAACAGGGTCCAGGATTCTGTGGCTGTTGCATCAAGTGTGTAGCCAAGGTAGCGGTGGTCAGGGGAGGGCTCACAGGCGCCGACGTGGACGTACCCTGTAAGGTAAGGCACGTTGGAAGCTCAGAGTATGCCCGTTGAAAGGCTCGTTGTAGGAATTCTTAGCTTTCGACTGAGCTGCAAGGCTTTGAAATCTTGGCGAAAGAACTCAAAGCCTTGCAGACGTCGTGTAGGAAATCCTCCCACTCAGTAGGCCGCTTGAAGGCTTAGACACGAGGAGGGAGGAAGGCCCCGCAAAGATTACGAACATAGCAGAAGCGTCGAAACGACCTACAACACCACAGCTTGTAACTGCCTCCTTGCAAAAAAAATCCACAGAATTTCATTTTTAGGAGAAAATGTAAGGCCCAACATTGAAGGCGCACCTCACCAAACTCCTCTGCCAGCTCGTTCAGGTCCAGGAGCACCTCATCCTTTAAAAGCTCTGGTTGTATGCCAGGCTCCCCCACTCGACGGCGGTAGAAGATGGGGTAGTCCTTGTTGTCAGGGCCTTCCTTGCACCAGTAGTGCCACTTGCCCCACCTGGCAGGGCAGCATGAGACATGGAATCTGGACTGGTTTAAAAGGAAGGCCAGTCTGGCAACAAGGGACAAGGTGTAAGAGAGGCCTGCTTCACATTGGATTTGTGCATCAGGAGCTGAAGGAAACGTCATCAAGCTCCGACTAGGAGGGGAACGTCCCAAAGGAAGAGCCTACTTTTTCAAAGCTTCACCTTGAAGAAATGTCATCAAGCTTCTACCAAGTATGGAAAGACCTCTAAGCAGGCAGGACAAGAATGACATTTCACAGAAGGTCTGGATGTCACTGAACACCTCTGCCCTCCGTCGTTTGGACACTCAACTTCTTCAAAGGCATAGAGTATGTCTGCTTACCTTTCTGGAGGGCTCGTCTCATCTGGGGGCAATCGTGCTTTCATTTCTTGCTCAAGCTTCCTTTGCAAGCTAGCTGTCTTGGCAAGGTATGCCTCGGCATAAGCATTCTCATGCTCCAAAAGTTCCTGCACTGCTGGATCAGAAGGATCCGCGAGCCATTGATACGGGTCATCCCAGATGGTCCCATGTGCCCTTCGCTGAAAGGGCCTTTTCTCAGCGATAGGGGGTGTCTCTGAGGTTCTGAACCAAGCTTCTCGACTAAAGTGACGAGGTGCCTCACTGCAATGGAGCCCTTTGAAAGCGGATGAAGGTGTATATTTGCGACCAAACGGTGCACGCAAAAGTTTTGGTGACAGCCGCTGCCAGGAATTCGAGCTGCGCACATCAGATGATGGCGCCACATTCTTTGACTGCTCAGCTCCAATAACATGAAGAACTTGTTGACTACTGCCAGGACCTTCTCGGGAACTACTTGGCGGTGGCAGAACCTGATCGAGCAACGTCTGGTGAAATGATCGCGAAGCTCTGCTCTGATTAAAGAGGTCAGTTGGCACTTGGAGTGCAACAGCTCCAGAGAAGATTGCTTTACATAGTTGCAGAGCTGCCGCAGGAGAGAACCTCGACATGAGAGTCATGGCTCAGCATTTATTCTCGACAGTTTCACCTTACAAACTCTTCATGCCAGAGACCCATCCCGGCATTGTCGCCCTGCAATTGCTGACCACCTTGCGTAATGATCACAAAATGCGGTCCCCTCAATCAGCTGTCAAAGCTGGATTAACGAAAAGTACAAAGAGATGCTGGCTTCTATTCTATGGCCACCAGCACCACAAACTTGCTGCACCACCTCACCATCAAGCGTCTGTGTCAGGCTGAGTGCTCAAAATTCCCTGTGAAAGTGAGCGGGCAGCAGCTGGCACCAGCAAAACCCTTGAAGTTTGAAGGCAGGATAACAGAACCCTAATGTTGCAAAAGTCGGCTGCTGCATGGAGTGGACGCCATGGCCCTGGGCGCACTCCCTTGACGAGCATTGGTTTGTTCAGGTCTATCTGGGTCCATCTCTGTGTTGCAACATACGGAGCCTTTGAAAGCCTTCAGGGTCAGGGCGTCAAGGTGGTGCTATCATCAATCCTGAGCTGGGATGGCGTTTGTTGGCAGGGCGTTGATTGCATTGCGGCCGCTCAGTTGCGCGAGCGCTGGTCCAGCAATTCTGGAAAAGCTGGGAGTTGTGGCGATTCCTGCAAGTCGGTTGTTGCATAATTCGCAGCATTGCGCGGGCTCTGATCAGCTCAGGCATGAAGGCGGGTTTACAATCGCACCACTGTTTGCAGCTGCTCAAGAAGAAACTTATGAGGCAGTGCATCAGTCCAAGCGAAGCTGGTCTGTGCTTGCTGCATGTTTGACTTCATTTGGGGTTGGGGCTTTGCTTGGAGCCGAAATCCACCGGAGAAGCAGTGGCGCTCATGTTAGTGCAGAGGGAATCCATGCTTCAAGTAAGCGTTAGCTGGTGGTGTCCTGTCCCTTGAAAGTCTGTACACAGCAATGCTAGATACCTGGCGCGTCTGATGCTTAGGCACACAGTCTCTTGACCACTCTCCATCAAACAAGTGCTTTAGGATCATCAGCAATCACGTGGTCGCATAAAAGCTGTATAGGGAAGCCCCCTATCTGAGAATCCTTGCTGATCCCTACATCAACTTGCAGACTGTCTCTGCTTTTGTTGCAGGTGCTTGGCCGTCCTACACTCAAGCCCATCTGCTTCCCCCCGCGTGGCCATCTTCAACAAGTCCCTCCTCTTTCCAAAATACAAGTCCATCCTACTTGCCTCTGACCACCACAACAGCGCAGTTCCTCCCTCAAACTCCTTATCTGGTTCACGCCAACTTCGGTCGCAGCAGAGTACAGCAGTCCCTAGGCACAGGTGTTTCCGAGGAGCTTGCGCAGAACGACCTCCAGAAAGAACTCCAGCTCTCCCCAGCTTCAGTCCCTGGGCCTCTTCCGGAGTACCTCAAAAGCCAGGAAGCAGCCAGACCCTTGCCGGCCCCAGCCGGTTCTGAGCCTACGTCCTCCACTCGCCCGTACTTGTCGGCAAACTTTATTGCCGATGCCGCTGCAAAGGCTTCTCCTGCTGTGGTCAACATCACAGTCTCATCTGGTGAGCAGACCATCTAAAGGAGTTCCCCAGCCTCCTGATGCCAAAAAGGTGGGAAACACACTCCTAGAGCATCTGAAGTCTTGAAGCCCTCGTGCCCGGTAAAGAGTTGACAACTTCTCAGGCGTTTGTCAATCAATCTTAGCTGTCCGCACCTGCGCTTTGACATTTTTTCTATATTTTTGGACAATTGTGTCACTTCGATCTGCAGGGAGAGGTTGGTTGATGTCCCAGTCTGCCGGCTCTGGCTTCATCGTGGACAAGGACGGAACCATCCTCACAAATGCACACGTGGTCGCAGAAATGACAGGGAGGGAACGAGGCGCTTACCGTGGAAAGGTGGGTGGATCCGAAGAGACTCTCCAAATGATTGCTTATAGCAGAGAAGCTTGTCCATCTACATCTTTCCTACCGATCTGTGGGACCCTGTTGCAGAGTGACCTCCGTGCACTTGGGGCAGCGGGCGTCGCATGCAGACCTTTCAAAACATTCAACTTCAGAAGGTGTTATAATGATGGGGTTCTCCTCAAAAAGTTTCCAACAGCCAACATCTCGTGATTGTGCAGCTTCTGGTGACGATGCAAGACGGTCGAACTTTCGAGGGAAAGGTGAGGAACCTAGAACTCGGCAGGTCAATTGTATTTTGACGCCTTGCACCAGTGTATTGGAAATGTCACATTGCTATACTCTGACGGAAGATTTGTTGCCTGCCGGATGTCCCTATGTTGATGAGTTGACGTGCAATTGCGATTATATATACCTTTCTTTTCTCTCTCGAACAGGTCATGAGTTTCGACACGCTTTCTGACATCGCCGTCGTCAAGATGGAATCGAGCACGCCCCTCCCGTTCGTAAAACTAGGTGAGTCATGAGGTGTGTCTCACTCTGCGGTTCTCGTTTAAGGGCTTAACATTCAGTACGTCACTTTAACTCTATGAAATGCCGCGGGGTGCTAGGTGCTCGTATCGACCCATGACACCTTTTTGTCCTGGCTTCCATTAGATCCAGGTTCCCGTCCATGCCTCCTGTCTTGAAAAGCGTTCAGAACAAAGCTTGCACAAGATTTCTGGTCTGGAGCGCAGCTTAGGTGTAGCTCTGGTCCCGCTCGATTTCGCGCACTTGCTTTTGCCCTTCTGCCATTCCCATGGCTGAGGTCAAATGTCTACCCGCAGGGGAATCTGCCAATCTCAGGGCCGGGGACTGGGTGGTAAGTTCTACCCCCTCTATGACGGCTGATCAACTGACCGTCCATTGCAACGCTTCGTAAGCTTTCCCCCAGGTGAAATATGCAATAGTAGCAACTTTAAAGTCACCAATGATTGGTTTTTGCGATTGGCAGTATGACTTCGTTATCAACCAGTACCGTTCGGAGAGAGCAATCTACAGATGTGAGAGTCAGAAATGTGGCCCTTCGGACATGCTGGATCTCGAAGTAGCTGCCAAGCAACCCCGTTGGATGCGAAAAGCGAACAAAAGGGAACACGCTCAAGAGCGTTACAAATGGCATCCTCGAAGCAGCGGAAAAGGTTTCCGTTGTCGCGACGGCTTTGTTTCCTTGTTCAGGTGGCCCTGGGCAGTCCTTTCCATCTGATGAACACAGTAACGTGCGGGATCGTTAGGTGAGTCTTTCAACCAATTCGACATTCTCCGAAGCCTACGCAATCAAACCTTTCTGGTCAGGGGTCTCCCTGAGGAGCCGATGGGCTTTGCTCAAAAAAGAAGGGCGCCTCTGAGCCTAATGCTTTGCTCCATTATCATCATCGCTACGGAGTTTCAGCAAGACTCATTTCAAACGTCGTTTTTGGCCACGAAATTCGGACTTAGTAGCTAGGGTCTAACGAAGCCGCTGTATTGCAGGCCTCGAACGCAATTCTTGAAGTTCGTTGGCAGGTGGCGCTGGTTTTCGTTTTCACTTGCTGACGTCATCTGTCACGTGTTCCCAGTTGCACGCAGCGCAAGAGCAGCGAGCTGGGCGTGCTTGGCGGCCGGACGAACTACATCCAAACGGATGCCGCCATCAATCAGGTCGGCCGTCCGTACCAATCTCGTCCGCGAATCTGGACCGATGATTTCCCAATCTTTTGAATGGTCAATTACGGTATCTTGATGAGTTTCCAGGGCTGAATGTGAGGCAAACCTGGAATCAGCCCCTTTGACCCGCAAATGGATCGAGTCACGCCCGCTCCTTGTTTCCCGCGGCTGCTTCTGAAAGGCTGGCGCTGCTGTCCTTTGGAGTATGATATGGGGTTGTTCGAGTCGGTGATATGAACCGTTAGTCCCAATTTGTTACCTTCCCTCTGTACGATTGAATGTAACGTCTGTACTTAATCAGTGGCTCCAAATTTTGAACAAATTTGCATCTGGCATGCATTCTTTCTGTATGCATTTGGGATTCCGGTATCGGCTGCAGGCTGGCAGGTTTCCTCTGTGTAAGGTCGTAAGCCATCTACTTTCTTTGCAGGGCAACTCCGGAGGTCCCCTCGTCGACCTCGATGGGAAAGTGATTGGCATCAATACGATGAAGGCACGTTGCCTGCTCCTTGATTCTCATTTGTTTCTTCGATTCCAAATTTGTCAAGGGGTTTGCAATCGCTGCTTAAGCTGTTATGCTGTCACTGGTCAATGAACGCCGGTGTTCGATATCCGTCGTACTTTTGGGAGCATCAGCGAGCATCTTTAGTAAGTGAGAGTCTCAAAGCTTACTGAGCTTCCGACCGTCAAGTAAACGACTAGTTTCCTCCACCTTCTTGGCAGACTCGATTGGACTTGACGTACACGAACCACGGTGCTCGTGTTGCGCTGAGAAAAGCGTCCAGCAGATAGCAACTGTCCGCAGATCCGGCTTCTCGTCGGGCTCCTTTGTTTTGTTTGGCGCAAGCTTTTTCTCAAGTGAGGTCATCTTGTCCGCTCGCCACAGGCCCTGTCAGCGGACGGGGTCAGCTTCGCCATCCCCATTGACGCTGCGCGCAAGGTTGTTGAGCAGCTGGCCAAGCACGGGTGAGCGCGCCGCAAGCCCCACTAAGAAACAACCTGAACAAAGATGAGAAATCTTTTTTTTTGGAGGTTAAGCTAGCGTCGGCACGATAATCACCGTTTGCGAAAACGCTTTTAATCCTCAGCTATTGTCGTACATTTTGGAAATCATTATGCGGAGCTTTTGAAAGTAGGCGGCCCGTTTGTATCAACGTATGCCTATCGTCGAAGCCTCCGCTTTGCTTTGCGTGACGCTGACTAGCGCCACGCTTGTTCGGCATCCAAGCTGACGTGATCCTGAATGTCCGCACAATTTTCGGATCCTTGGATAGTACCTCTTTCGATTCTTTCTTTCCTGACCGCCATATCCCGTGGCATAAGGGTCGTTGCAGACCAGGCTTTGTACAATTGGAGAGAAAGCTTACCGACGCTTAGGGGCGATGCGTAAGGTGCAACCGGATTGATACTTCGTTGCACAGGCGTGTGTTGCGGCCCTTCGTCGGGATGAAGATGCTGGAGTTGAACGCCGCAGTGATCAGCCAGCTGAAAGAGCGGGACTCCACCTTTCCCGACGTGTCTGCCGGAGTGCTCGTTCCCCAAGTGAGCAGACTTTGCAAGAGCTCTTCGTCTTTGCTGGACAACGAGCTTCAGCGGTTTTACCTGAGGCCAATTGGAGCGGAGCCTTACAACTCCAGGACAACAAAGAAGCAACGAGGTATTCGAGTCGAATTGGCTAAAGGTCATGTCTTTTGGTGCCAAACTGTGTGGCGAACCTTTTCCGATGCACAGAGACGTCATTTGTGGGGTTCCGTCTCACTGCTAGGGGTACGTGGTTTGAAGCGCCCTTCCTCATTAAGGCCAGGCTTGATTGCGCTTCTCATATGGTTTGTAAGATGTCGTATTCTGCATCGTATTCTCCACGCTCAACAGCATGCCATACAGGGTAGATAGCAGGTTTCAAAAGACGAAACAAGTTGAATCTGCCTTCCGCCTGTTCAGGTGATTCCGGGGTCACCTGCAGAGAAGGGAGGCCTCATGCCGGGTGACGTCATCGTCGAGTTCGACGGCCAAAGCATCACCACAGTCAGCGAGGTGATGCGCTCACCTAAAGAACATCACCCGTGGGCCGTGTCAACAGACGCGGAATTGAGGAATTCTGCGGTGCTGGCATCGGAAGCCTTTGCAGATGAGCTACAAGATCGTGTTAAGTCTTTGCCGTTGCCGGATCAGTCTTGTTGAACCTGTCGGAGTTTGCAATTTATCAAGGATCCTGATGCTGCTGTGCCTGCAGATACTGGATGCGTTAGGCGAACGCATTGGGGAGACCATCAAGGTAGTCGTGCGAAGGCCGCGTGGAAAAAACGCCACCCTCTCTATCACGACTGAAGAGGGCGGTCCACCTTCTTGAGTGCAAGAGAACTCAGGCCTGTACCTTAAGTTCAGGCGCTCGTTTAGATCTTCCTCGCTTTGACTTCTGCTTAATGTAAAGTCTGACAATAACGGCCCTTGATAGAGATCAGCTACATTCCAGCAGCACGAAGGACGATCCTTTGAACTCATGGTCATGTCGATCACCGAGTAGTCTTCCAGCATTGATTACCGCCTGAGCTCCCAAACCATGCATGAGTTACGCAGGCTTCTCTTTGAAAACGCAGTGCGTTGCTCATGAATGATTGCCGTGCGCGCTTAACAGTGCGTCGCCGTCATACTAGGGCGCCAGATAACACCTTCTTGCACCTTCGGATCCGAGCGACGCATGATCAGTGCTGTTTGTTTCTATTATCGGTTCTACGCTGCTCTCGACGGTGTGCAAACTTCGACGAATATGCTGCCTCATGCGCAATAGACAAAGTAGGCTTCCAACCGAAGGTCTTCCACAAATCTGGAAGACCTTCGGGTATCTTCGAACGCACATAGTCCCGTCTTCTTTAGTAGCACCTAGGCTAGTAGTCAAGAACACACCCGCATCGCATTAATTTTTCAAGAGAGCCGCGCGGGGCCGGGCGCAGGCCGTCGGAAGATGCACATGCGGCCCGGCGAAACCTTTATGCATGTGTCAAATGCTGGCATGCAGGTTACAGAAGTGCCCCATCATGGAAAACCATCATAATTTGCGGGTTGACGTAGTCTTACAGCTTCCTGATGATGAGACCGCTTTCGAAAACACGCTTATCTGGTTGATTTTTCTTGACGCATGTCGAGATCAACCGCAGCTTGAGTTGGAGCAATCTTTGGCTGCATGTTGGGCACGGTAACTTCAATGGATATCGACTAGAAGTAGGATCAGTATGAAGATTTTTGGAGACTCGACTGCCCATGTACGTGTTTGGCAACGTCGAGACGACAATACAAGCATGGAGTAATCGAACTCAGGGAGCTGGGTTCATGACATCTTGCTCTGCCAAGTCTACTGTCACCAGCTTCGCTGCGCTTCAGATCGCGCGATTGTCGCTCGTCTCGACAAAAGCGAGCACCTGGCCGTTCGTCCCGCTGCGCGAGGATCAAGCATTGCGGTGCTTGATTGACCTGCTTCAGGCTGTCTAGTCTTAGGGCCAAGAGATTTATCCAGGACCACAGGATCCCGGGGTTCTATCATCACTTTCGTCACCTTCGAGGATTTGAAAGCTACTAGGAGTAATCGGAATCAAGAGCCAAAGTCATCACCAAGCTGACGCAGCTTTTCCAAAGACTTGTCGCAGCTCCAACATTTTGTCTCCTGTAGGAAGCTTCGTTTCACTCGTGCACCGCTCAAAGCTGAACCTCATGCCATTCTGTAGTCTTAGAAAAATTGGCAGACAAGCAAAGCGCGCTCTCGCTCTGCTCTCGCTCCGATCTCATTTGCTTGGAGCAATACGGTCTTGAGGTCCGACAGCGCGCTGCAGCCAAGTTGGCTTTGAAGCAGAAAAAGATGGCGAGGGAGGGCGTTAGATCGTCTTTTGACCTTCTCCCCGCAGAGGTTCTGGACACAATCGTGGAGAAAGTGAGGAGCAGTTGTGGGGAGAGCTTCCAGGCGCTTGGGGCTACGAGCAGGGAGCTGCGTGACTCTGCCAGGAGATGCACCAAGACTTTGGTTGTGACGCCTTCGAAGGAGGTTGAGAAGCGGTTTATGCAAGAAGCATCCCAAGACAGCAGCCTGTCAATGCATCTCAACGAGTTCCTCTTGGAGGAGATCAGCAAGCGGCCTGGCCTTTCTGAACTGGTGATGAGCGAGCCTGGGTTTCTAAACCGGAGCGGAAGGTTTTCCGTCTTGACATCTCTGTCAAGCGTTCGTTGGACGAAGTGCACATTTCTGGGTCATACTGCCTGCCCCTCTAGCTCTGGCCACCTCGTCACCTGGGATGGCTCCTTCTGCAAGCGTGTGCTCTCTGGTTCCAAAGAAAGCCTCGAGAAGCTCAGGCTAGTGAGCTTCGATTTTCAAGGATCAGCGCTCCTAAGGCTTGGTCAGATCTTTCCCAATATCGCCGCCTTGAAAGTAGAGGGCAGAATCTTCGAACCCTGCAATTTACCAGAGCACAGCAAGTTGTTGAAGCTGGATGTTTCCAATCTTAAACGGTTCAAGGAGCGTGGAACTGGAGTGAGCCGTATGTTCACCAGCGGAAACAGGCCTCCAACAACACCATTTACCGCACCTCCAATCATACAAGGCATCTGGCCGCCAAGAATCACCACCTCAGTGTGGCGGCTAATTGCACAGAGGAACCTGGCGTCGAGATTCTCATCGCAAATCCGCTTGAAGGCCTCCGTTCTCTCCCCTGCACTTTAGAGACTTTGGACGTGTACTTGCAGAAGTGTGTGCAGCCGGTTGGGCGCAGCTTCGCCTTGGGCAGTCATCCTTTGTGCCCAATATTGGCCGCATCCGATTGCACGGTGCTTCGGAAGGTCCAGGTGCGCGCCACTCCAGGCGTAGCAAATTCGAGTCTCGTTCCGAAGAATCTTCGTCGGTGGTTTGGTGCCGAGGTCAAGAGGATCTTTAAGGCTTGCCTTCAGCTCGAGGAGCTATGTTTTCTCGGCTGCGATGAGGAGGAAATGGTCAAGTGGGAGAGATCTTCGGGCAGAGTGAAAGTTGTCAAGTAGCTGACAGATGGAACAATAAGCAAGATGTGACTTCGTTTCTTTTGTGGGGGAGATGTCACGCAGTCAGTAGGGTGCGGTCAGTTGAAGGCAGTCTTACCAGTCGTTAACACCATATTACAAGTTTCACAAGACGCTCGCATAAGAGAAATAAGATGTCGGAGGCTTTGCTTTGCCTTCACTCTTTGAAATTCTTTCGAGTATTCTGTAACAAGATCCCCCGTTCGACTGTAGAATTTTTATATAGACAAATTGTAAAAATGATCTGGAACAACGCATTCATAACTCAAGATAGAAGACGACGCAAGCTGATATCGATATTAACTGAAGGCGGCCGCGGAGCCCCTATATTGTGTGGTTGACATGGCTAATGACGGTGAGCGCACTCGTGAAATCATGCGCAGCATGGTGGCTAACTCGGTTCGATCTATATATTACTAAAAGGTTCGATTTGCGCCACAAGGCGTTGCTGCGAGCTTAGCATGGATCAAATAGAATCTGTCGGACCCTGCCGCTTCAATCCGCACTTAAACCTCAGCATCTAACAGGAACTTACATCCATCGCGGCTGCAATGATTGTCAGATTTTAATTAAGGTGCCGGCCACTTCAATCGGCTGTATCTGTATAGCCGAAAGCATGCGGCGTTCTTCCGGCGGAAAGGATGTTCTCTCGCGAACATTCCTCAGTTGCGTGCTGGTTGCAACTGCTTTGATATCCAAATCTGGCCCGAAGCAGGACCATCGATCATGCAGAGAATCTCAGAATCGCCGCATGTTACGATGCCGGGGCATCCTATATGCGGCGTTTCAAACCAGATGACCCATTTTCCAGCATTGCCCACGATTATGCGTTGCTCTTTGAAGCCGTCGGGTTTTTCATGGCACGATCTGTGCAACTTCACAGAATCAAGAAGCAAGCACGCCACTGCACCTGGCAGTGACGGGTTCAACGAGTCGACGTGGTAAGCTACGGAATGGAGGGCTTGATATGCAACGTCAGGCCAAAGTATATGCACGTATCGCACTCTTAATACTTAGGCCTGCAGGCCTGTATCAATGTTGATATCTGACACGGATACTTTGTTTTGGGCATGCCTTATTTGCACGTACTGTAGTTCGGAACGCCAACGTGGCGCTGCGCCGTGGTATTGAACGCGCGCGAACTGCTGCTTCCGTGGAGATTGAGGAAAGAACCCTCGGGGGGCGTTTTGACGCGGCCGCTGCCGGAAGGGACTGCTGCAGGACGATTCCGTTCTGTTTCCGGGGAAGGAGACCGAGGGAGCAGTTCCGTTCTGCTTCGCACCGGAAACGGAGGCCGCATCCTGGCTGAAGCGAGCGCCCGCGAATGGCCGTGCGCTACCGGCGCAGCTTGCAACGTGGGAGAGCTTTTCAGGAACCGACCGGGAAAAACGAGCTCTCGTCGGTCCACGTCGGTCGCAGAATCCTGGAACATCAACACACGAGCATGCATGCAGTTGCTGATCGAAACTCCGGAGCTGACTCCAAGCTTCTCTGTTGGTCCAAGACTACAGTTCTGTTGGCTGATTCAGATTGTCGCTCGTGAATCCTATGGCTTGCACCTGGTGTGTCATTCGCGCTCCGTGAATCGATTCTACTGAATCTTTGATTCGTTTCCAGGCCCAGGCCCAGGCCCAAAGTTTCTGGCACCAACTCTCTCCGTTCGTCACCCTTGAGAAGACTCAAAGCGGACACACAAATCGATGACTCGGCTTCTCAAAACCTCGATGCAGGTCCACACTCGTGTCTCCCGTAGAAGGCATGATTGGCACGAATGCACCGCCAAAGCTGAGCCGCATCCTCTGTTACAAGACTTTGCAGACGGGCACAGCGCGCTTTCTTGATCGCTCCCTTCTCATTTGCTGTTGTCATTGTTGAGCTCAAGCTTGAAAAAATCACGGTGCAGCAACAATCAAGTTCGCAGTTGTTGCTGCCAGCCGGGAAAGCGCCGCGAACAGTTGACTTTAGAGCAAGAAAATGGCGAGGGCGGGTCTCAGAGCGTCTTTTGACCTACTTCCCACAGAGGTTCTGGACATAATTGTGGAGAAAGTGAGGAGGGATTGTGGGGAGAGCTTCCAAGCGCTTGGGATTACGAGCAGGGAGTTGCGTGACTCTGCCAGAAGATGCACCAGGACTCTGGTTGTGACGCCTTCGGAGGATATCGAGAAGCAGACGGTCAAAGAAGCATCCAAAGACGGCAGCCTGTCAATGCATCTCAACGAGTTCCTGCTGGAGGAGATCAGCAAGCGGCCTGGCCTTTCTGAGCTGGTGATGAGCGAGCCTGGGTTTCTAAGTTGGAGCGGGACGATTTCCATCTTGACATCTCTGTCAAGCGTTCGTTTGACCAAGTGCAGTCTGCTTGCTCATGCCTGCGCCTCTGACCCCGGCAACCTCGTCACTTGGGAGGGCTCCTTCTGCGAGAGCGCGCTCTCTTTTTCTAAAGAGAGCCTCAAGAAGCTCAGCTTAGTAAGCTTTGGCTTCCAAGGGGGGACGCCTCAGAAAGTCGGTCAGCAATATCCCAATCTAACCGCCTTGAAAGTTGAGGGCAGCGTCTACAAGTGTCACGAACCCTGCAAATTACCAGAGCACGACAAACTGCTGGAGCTCGACATATCCAAGTTCAGACCGTGTAGCTTGAATTGTACATGTCTGCCTCGAGAAGGCCGTAAGTCTTCTGGGTGCAGATCGGCCGCACGGCTTCGGACCGCAGCCAGTGCCAGAAACCGAGGTTTTTGGGCGCCAAACGTATGCCACCTCGCTCTTTTTGCACAGAGGAACCGAACAGCAGACTCATCTTCTTAAGTTCCCTTGGCTCCTCTTCCCTGCCATCCAAATTAACGCATTTGGATTTGTCCTTGCAAGAGTGGGATAAAAAACGGGGCGGCTGGCCCTGGGATTTTCCTCGGTTGCTGGCCGCATCAGACTGCCCATTGCTTCGAACAACTTGCATGCACGTCACTCCTGGCTTAGCACATCCAAGATTAGGGCTGGTCTCGAAGAACATCCGTCGGTGGTTCGGTGGTGAGGTCAAGCGGATCTTCGCAGCGTGCCCTCACCTGGAAAAGCTAGGCTTCAGCGGCTGCGACGGGGAGGAGATAGTCAGGTGGGAGAAATTTGTGCAAGGAGTGAGAGTCGTCGAATAGCTGCAGAATGTACAGATAGAAGCGGCGACATTTCATCCTGTTCTCTTCTTTGGCGGAGGTTTGCAGTCCTTAGGGTGCTATTAGAAGTCGACATTTAAGACCCACTTTAGAGAGAAGAAGTGAACTTTCAGATCGAATCGTTCACAAGATCGGCCTTTTCTGGTTAGCTGTAGACATACGGATTGGATCAGTGCTTTGGGACTTTCATTTTCAGGTCAGGATACATGCATTGTCAATTCGTGTGTTTAATAAAATTGTCGTTCAAGAGAAGACTGGACGGAGCGGGGATCCCGGCTAGGGGCGAAGATATTGTCTGAGGAGCATGAAGTACGTCTCCGCTTGTGCAGCACGTATACAGAAGTACATGGCATTTAGCATGCTAGAAGTCTATAGTACGTACGTAAATGCGTGCGCAGTCTTCAGTAATTGCAGCATCACAACTCAGCTAAGACTCAGGTCCTTCATCCTGAATGTTAAATATCGTCCGGCAACATTAGAATTTGGACTCAGTGCATATTATGCCGCGCTGTTGGAAGCCCTAAATGCACCAAGTGGACAACTTTGAAGATGTTGTTGAGCAAACATACATCGTGGAAACGTGCGCAGGCATGGTGGCTCACTTCTGCTTCAGCTTCTTAAGGGTCCTGTCTATCTCACAAGCTTGCGCTCTCATCCGCCAACTGGTCAACTGCGACCAGTTTAGCAAACTAACCGCCTTCTCACTACCTAACTCGAACATGCATTGCGGAACGCAATGATGTCAGACTAACGATTGTATGCCGGCCACTTCGTAAGTTTGAAACTATGATGGCGGAAAAGAATGTTCTTCTGCAATTATTCGTATTTGCGTGCTTGGTTGCGACTGCTATAAAGTCCACACCGGGCTCACTATGCAAAGCTTTAAGGCACAAAGTTGATCTTATCCACTCTTTCTATGTGATCAGGGTCCAAACAAAAACACGTCAAGCACTAAGTAAGGCGGATCAATGTTCTCTAAGTCGTCCTACAATGGTCGATACTCTTTATGCACACTGTCAGTAGCTCCGTACTGCCACCATGATCCGTAGGGCCCCCAACGGGATAGCTTATGTAAACTCCCGCCTGATCTCCTCTCATCGTATCAAACACCCTACCGTCCTATGTTTACCGCTCCCCCCCCCAGCTTTGTAAAATGCTCAGTCATGTACATGGGGGTCCCATTTTCAGTCCTAAAATCTGGCCCGCGGCGCCTCTCTCATCACCCCCCGAGGGAAACACGAGGTCCGCGTCGCTAGGGCCCTAATCGAACTCTTTCTCGGTGCTGCCCAAGGCAACGTACCACAGCGTGCCAATAACGTACATGAGTGCGGCCCCAAGCCACACAATATTCCAGTTCCCGGTCTTGTCGAGCAGGACGCCGGTCAAAGCCACGGATGCAGAGCCTGCAAAGGAAAGTGCCTAATCAGCCGCTGATTAGGCTTTAGCTAACCGAAGAAACCCAGCAAGTCCGGAATTCGTTACCTGATCCGTGCTTCCAACAACGGGGTCCCCTAAAAGGTTCTCGCTTTAAGTAGACCCAAATGATAGGCACTTTCTATACTGCTCACCGGACGTTCCGTCTGCTGACCATTTTGACAAATCATCTCCGCGGCACCAACACAGACCAAAAGTTCTCGGCGGCTTCAATCCCTGCTCGCGTGCCCGTTAACGTTGCCTGGGGAAGTAGATGAAAACAACTCAGACAGCGAACGCCGACCAAACCTTTCTATAAACTCACCTCCCAGGCAGCCAAAGGTATTGGTCAGCGCGTACAGCGTCCCCGAGTGCTTCGGGGAGATGTCCGAGTGGTTGGAGCAGAAGCCCCCGGCCGAGAACGAGCCCAGCGCCAGCACTCCGCAGAAGACGGCCACCGCCTCGGTGGCAGAGGAGACACGTGTCAGGAGCGCCAGGCCCGCAGCGGGGCCGAGGAAAGCGACGCACTGGATGATCTTCCGGACCTGAGCAGGGGGAGAACACGGGGTTGAGGCTGAGTTCTGTGGGATCTCAAGATTGCAAGGCCCTTTTCGGTTCGTTTGAGGATGCACATGGAGAGTTGCTTGCTCTTGGAAGCTGTTTGCACATGCGCGACAATGATTGGTCAACCGACCCGGACGGAGGATCATCGAAGAGAGGACAAGTCCATTGGACGAGGGGACCCTCAAAACTACGATTAAGAGCTTAACTCTACGCTCCGCCACTGTTCGACTCGTATCAGTGTTTACCCCCCTTGAGCAACACAACGGATGTCTTAAAAGTCCGCCCCAACAGCCCTCGATAGTGAACCCACAGAAACGATTTTTCGGGGCAATCCAGCACCATTTTGCGCCTCACCTTGGTCTTGTGGATGCCCAGGCCGCTCATCCAGTCCGCGAGCATGCCCGACGTGTTCCCCGCCAGGAACGCCATGGTCCAGGGGATCAGCGTAATGGTGCTGCTCGCCGCAAGATCGAGCCCCAGCTTCTGCGTGAAATAGGTCGGCAGCCACGCCATGAACGCGTTCCACCCCCAGTTGCTGCAAAAGTGCGCGCCCGCGATCGCCCAGAACGCGCGGCTTGCAAAGAACCGCCGCCACGGGATGCCGCCCGCCGGTGGTGCGGCCGGCGCGGCGCCAGCTGGCGCCGCGTCATTGGCGACCCGCGCCTCGGCCACGGCCGCGCTGCTGCAGATCGTTCCGGTGCTCCGGAGGGGGCGGAGGTGCGGAACGCCGACGCGACGCCGCGCCGCGGGAATGGTCGCTTCCGCGGGGATCGGAGAAAGGACCCCCGGGGGGGTGGCTACGTGGCCGCTGCCAGAAAGGGACTGCTGCGCTGAGTGCGGGGCGGGGAGGACGATGCCGTTCTGTTTGCGAGGGGAGGAGACGGAGGGCGCGGTTTCGTTCTGCTGGACGGAACCAACGGAAACGGAGGGCGCGTTCTGGCTGAAGCGCCCGCGGATGGCCATGCGCCGCTGGCGCAGCTTGCGGCGCGCGTCGGGCGAGAGCTTCCAGTAGGGGTCGTCCGGGGAGAAGACGAGCTCCTCGTCGGAGCTCGCAACCACAGCCCCGTTAAGGATGCTTTTCCGGGAGGCCCCCGCGACTGCGGTCGCTGCCGCGGGGATGCGCTTCCCGTCGGGCCCGAGCGCCGCGAGCGTCGCGAGCTTGACACCGGTCTCGAGCAGGAGCGGGCTGTCTTTGTACAGCTTGAAAGTGGCGTCAGAAATGGCGGGCAGAACCGAAGGCGTCGCCGTCTGCGGGGCGACGTTGGCTTTGGGGGCTTTTCGGAAGGGGTTCCAGCGGGGCTTGGCGGCGGGGAGGGGTTCGAAGTGGGGGGCGGCAAAAGACCAGGCAGCCCCCCAGGCGAGGGAGACGGCGCCGATTGCGTAGAAGAGGGGTTGCCAGCCGGCGGTGTTGATGATGCCCGGACAGAGGAAGAGTGCTGCGAAGGAGGAAAGCCAACAGAGTCAGGACTAAGAAGCAAGTGGGAAGTGAGAGACGTGAGTTTGTCTTTTAACGGCAGGTGAGCTATTCGTTTGATAGACGGACAGGAAAGCCCGATGGGCACCCCTGTTCGGCTCTCTGCCGAAAGATGAGGCTCTTCAAAGAGGCTATAGCTCTTTTGTCCAGATGAAGCAACGCCAACGAAATACACCTTCCGAACGCTCGAAACAGCATCTTGTGGTAACTGCTCGTAACTTTTGACCAACACAAAAGCACCCACAAATCACTGCTTCACCATCTGCTTGACTTTACACTCACAATTTGCGGCAAGCATTGATGGAAGCCCAAAAGATAAGGAGCAACAGGCAGTGGAAATGGAGGACCTACAGAGAACGGTGCCGAGGGGGCCGCCAGAGAAGACCATTGCTAAGGAGCTGGACCGTTTCTCGGGGGGAACGTAGTCGGCCAGCATGCTGGTGAGAATGGGCACCACAACGCCCTCGCCAAAACCAAGAGCAGCCTGCAAATGGCCAGTACCACGACGATTCTAATGATACGAAAAGAAAAATCGTTCGAAGGTTTGCAACCAGATGGAGCGAACACATCTAGATGTATGAGCGGTTGGTCCAAAGACTGGGTATGGCCGCAACCTGCCTTGACTCTTGAGCGAGCCATGCAAACCCTCTGCCTGCAAGCCTTTGATCAGACGGTCAAAGATCGCAAAACTCTTCTGACTGGGTAATTCAGTGCTTCAAAAGGAGTCCGAAGCTCATCCGGTTTCTCCCATGCGAGGCTACATGGATACAACAAATCAACAGATCCGATCAGAATTCGCAAGCCTGCTAAACAAGTTGGCGAGATGAGGTAATCGAGGGGGTACAACTTCAAATATAACAAGAACCTGCAAAGATTTGATTTGAAAATAGAGCGCACTCACGCGCACGGCCAGCAGTCCTGTCAGGGAAGTGGAGGCCGCAATAGGGGTGAGGAGCTGGCACACGCCGATCCACAGCGCGACCCACGTCATTATTTTCCGCCGGCCGATCCGCTTGCAAACAATGCTGCTAGGAATCTGCGAAATATAAGGCAACAGATCAGCCATCCTGAAGCAAGAAAAACGCCCCCCCTTGTGATTCTGATTGTTTTTCAACAGGCTCTGCTTTTTCCATTTTTAAGTCATACCATAAGCGGTGAATAGTAATATGCAGGAATAACACTCCTTTTCATGAAGAAGGTTCCTACTTGCGGATGGATCATGCAAGAAAATGGCCAAGAAACAAAACCAAGACATGCGCAAAACAGGTGGATGATGAACTCACCTGAGAGAACATGAACCCGAAGAAGAAGGAGCTTCCAATCAGGCCTTTGTCTGACTCCAACCACCCAAATTGCTTGGCCACTGCACAAAAGAGTGCGTCATGTTTACGACGTCTTACTTGAGAAGCAACTTTTCAATCAGATGCAACCAGTGAGAAACTTCCGCGATCTTACCAGAAACTGTTCAACCACAATTCATATGCCAAAGGAGCCGCAAAAACCGCATTTCTTTTGCAGCACCAGTGCAGTCAACCAATCCCACCTCTGAGTCCACATTGACATGCGGTGCTGCCTTCCTTCTGACTAGGGTTTTTCCAACTCACTTGTCATCGGCGCCACCGACATGGCCGCCTTATCTGCTGACGTCATCAGGCAGAACGCAAAGAAAAGCCCAATCAATATCTTCCAATTCCGGCCATCGCCAGCCTCCTTTGCAGTCTCCGCCGGCTTGACCTCTGGGACCGTCGCACCAATCACTGCTTCCTCCTTAGCATCTATGAGACTCGGTTCAGGGCTAGCAGTCTCAATCTGGAGAGGCTCCCATTGACCCCCAGTCCTTGCCATGTCCAAAAGCGTCTTTTCTGCTGGGCCCGTCCATGGATACTCTGCCAAGTTTGCTCCCCCATCCCGCCCTTCTCTCCGGTCCTGTTTCCCACCAACTCTCTGCCCCAGTTCTGGTTTGTTGGATTGGTCAGTTACAGCCTCCCCACTTTTGACCGCCTTGTTCTTAGATCCCCGCCTTAGAATCCAGTTCTTGCCACGGATGAGACCCTGGGCCCTATCGTGGACTGACTGCTGCCCCTCAAACCATTCCTTGCCTCCCTTCTTTTGCCGCCTGTCTAGGTGACGGGGGGACATGTCTGTGTCGTCAGCATTTGCCCTGACTGTGAACGACGAAGTTCTGAGGCTTCGAGAAGACAGAATGGAGGCCCTGGCTCGCCCTGCGCTTGTTGCCGGATGCTGGGCCTTCCAAGAAACCCTTAGTAAAGGGTCCTTGCTCTCAACCGATGGTGGCCGGTACGTATTGTGGACGTTGCAGCGACCCCGCTTCCCCGCCATGCTAGTCGCCTGCACGGCTGCAAACCCTCCGACCTGCTGAGCCGGGAGGACCAGAGTGGACGCCATGCTACCTTTCCTAAACTCCCTCTCTCAGCATCCAAGGATCAACAACTTTGGACGAAGGGGAAACTGCGATGTTTCTCCTATCCTCCAATCTGCGGCTTTGATCAATCCCTTTCCCCAACAGCCAATGCTTTCTCCTTCCCAATGTGTGAATAAGATGTGCCACCATTCTCAAATGAGCATGTTGCAGGCCTGATTGAGCAATCAAAGTTGCTATCTCCCGGCAGTCAGAGCAGTCTCCTGCTTGGCTTGGAGGAAAGAACACATTTCAACCTGGTTTGGAGAAGACCGGACGAGATTTAAAGGCCAGCCTCGGATCCTTTGCTTCGTCTGCCCCCGCAACCTCGCCCGCGCATCTGGTGATCATGACTGCGGAAATGCTGATACCGTAGTAGGTACGTCTCCTTGCCATTGCCGTTGGTTCGAGTCTGTCTAGGATCATCTTGCTTCAATCATACATGTGCATATTGTACCCCCGCAAGAAGGTGAAAGGCTTTTACGCCTTGCCAGCCGTTCGCTATCTGATCGGACGTTCTAAAATGTACAGGCTGTAAAGATGAGTCTTTCAGTGGTCAAGGGGCAAGTACTGTACGGCAAATGGTAGGTAGGTATTGGAGAATCTTGGTACAGCATTCTGGTCCCTGGACCACATGGTAATCGCCGGGAGCCGTCGATGAACAGCTTGGACCATCTCGACCGTCTAACCTAACGAACATCCGCCCGCTTCTAGATTCACCTCAAGCATCGGGATCACAGCCACGTAATCGTGGCAAAATGAGTCGCCCCTCGTCCCGCTTATGGGACACCCTTTCTGCATGCGCGACTGTTATCGATGTTCATTTTTGTGGAGGAAAAAGCACATATTCGAGAAGCTTCGGCGCCCTTTTGGTCCTTTATCTGAAGCTTTCGATAAAGTTGGAAGACAACGCATCAAAGAGCTCCACGTGGAGCATTCCTACTAGCTGAAAAATGTGGCGCGTAAAGCTCGAGGCCAAGGTAAGGCCTGGAGTCGGGTGGAACCAACCAGTCTCTTTTTGCCCGCTTTCTGCCCCACCTTTGCAGATTCCCCGACCGCCTTTTGTCAACGAAGGGTTTCAGGGAGAAATGAAATCCATTTCGAAATTTGCCAAATGGGCTCACTCTTTGACTCTGGCCTCCGAGTCCTTGTGTGAGTCACAGTCGCACACTGCGGAACACTGAACAGCTGTCTGAGTCCCTTCTCATATGCAGTCTCTCTCTGCAGACCAGGCGCCTTGAAGTTGCCGCCTGCTATGACGCATTGCACTTTCGCTCATGCAATGCGGCGGCCATGGCGCCCAAGCGGAGTGTCTTACATTCCTGGTTTTTCATTTAGCAGCTCCATTTACTAGCTTGCTTAGGGTGGTCCGTTCTGTGACAAGGTGGCAAAGCTGGGCTCGCTACAAAGCTCTCTTTACATATTGTTCTGTTCAATCGAACTGGCAGCAAAGGCAGGTTGCTAAGATCTGGGGTACAGTTCTATCGGTCTGTCTGTACCTCAGCATTTGAAAACGAGTTGCTGTCCCTTGAAGGCATGTTGAATGCATGCTTCAAACAATTTTGAGGCCCTAGTTCTTCTCCGCAAAAAATGTTTCTCAACAGCAACCCAGTTCTGGAGATTCGTTCTCCTTTAACTGCGTAAATAGCGTTCCTTGGACCGGTGTCCGGCCAGTGTCAGGTCGTCGCTTGAAAAAGATGGGTTGCGGGAGGAGGTGGATCGCTGTCAACGTCGTGGGCGTCTGCTTGCTTCTCTTAGTCTTTGGGGGAGTGGTCGGCCCAGATCTGACACAAAGTGGGCTGGGACCAGGAGACAGTAAAAGCGGACGCGTGTCAGGTACGCGCCACTTTGCTTTCCGCGACTTTGTAGTGAGTTTGTTGGGTGGTCTATATAGACTATACCGTGGCGGCCCAGACCTCCACAGGTCGCAGAATGTGTAAAGTCTGATTGTTTCTGCATGCAGTATCTCGTCCAAAGTTGCTATCTGTTGCTCATTTGTGAAGTCCAGCGTCTAAGATTGCGGTGGTCAAACCAAGAGCTGTTTGGTAATGGTGGCAAATGCCCCTATGCTGCACATTCATGTCAGTAATTCCCTAAGTGAATACTTTGCAAACGGGACTGCAGATTGTCCTTGTGCGCCCTTCCCAAACCTTCGGCGACAAGGCTGGTTTGTTCACATCCGCTCCACAGTCAACCAAGTCCTACGCCACTCTGACCAGCTACTGACTATCTCAAACCCTGTTGCAGGTGTAGGGCATGGCAGAAGGGCCCGGGCACTGCTGCAGTCGCGTCGGGCGCTCCAGCAAACCGACCGGACATTCGCGAGGGAGCGCCGCCGATGGGACGCAGAGGCGCTGCAAAATGTTGGCGTTCCAGTCATTCTGGGCAGGGGGGTTTCTGTTGAGGATCGGGTGCTGCATTTCCGGAGGCGGGGCATTTCAGATTTTTTCGAGGCTGAGCCGGAGTGGCCAGAAAGCCAAGAATCTGAAGAGCCGGAGGACGAAGTGGGGGCTGAATCGAGTATGGAGGGAGATACTGACCAAGTGCTAGATAGTAAAAGTGTAGGAGAGGCAGGGAGTGGAAAAACCGGCCACAAGGGCTTAGGAAAGGGCGGGCCGGGGAGCGTCCCGGAGCTAATTATCAGGGACTCGGACTCTGAAGTTAGAACAGCAGAGACTTTCGCCCCAGTGCAGACTTTGTTCGTAAATGTAACAGCCAACTCTACTGGCGGAGCGGCAAACTCCAGTAATCTAGAAAAGAAGGGTCCACTTCTCGGGCAGGGTTTGCCCCTAAACATAACAGGTGGAGTAGCCACAAATAAAAGCTCGCGGCTCAACCAGTCTGAATTTAGCAGCAGGGATCCTGACTTCGACGCCCATCCGCACATTCTGCAGAATGTCACGGAGGCCGAACGTGTTGAGCAAACAACCGCAGAGTCTGAACCGCTCACTAAAGGGGCACCTGGGGAGGTACGCGACATAGAGCAGGAACAAGGTTTGGAGTTAGAAGAAATAGAAACTACTGCCCCCACTCAGCCCCCGGAAGAAGCTGAGATGCAAAACCCCTTCGCAGACCCCGAAACAGCGCCGATGCTCGTCCTCCCCCCCCAGCGGTCAATAAAAGTGTACATATACGACCTGCCCCCCCACCTGAACCGCGACTTCGTGACCCGCGACCCGCGGGTTAGGCAAACCATGTTCGCAACCGAGGTGTTGATTCACGAGAACTTTGAGCAGTCTGCGGTGCGGACGCTCGACCCGGACGAAGCAGACTTCTACTTCATCCCCGTGTATACGGCCGCGGTTCTGGAGGACTCGGGGCGGACGATTCCGGACTCGTCGCACGGCACAATGCTGGAGGCGGTGATGTATGTGGCGGAGAGGTGGCCATACTTCAACCGGATGCGGGGGCTGGATCATGTGGTCGTTGCGCCGCATGATTATGGCGCCTGCTTCCACTACCGGGTAAGTAATTTGCGAAACGGGAGCCAGAGAGAAGTGGTGGGTTCAGGGACGAAGTCACCGTGCTTCCATTCTGGCTGATTTTGGCAATGTGTGGTTTACTGCTCCACGCTGAACCGTCAGCATTTGCTGCTGGTTGAAGCTTATTACATGGACTTCTAAATACGTGCTTGACATAGTTGTGCCTGATCTGCTGATGGTAGTAAGGCTAGGGTGTTGGATCACTTTCTAAAGGCTGGTCGGCTGTACCATCGAGCTGTTTGTCTTTTGGTGTTCGGGTGTTCGGGTTAGCTGCAAAAGTCTCTTGCTATCACAATTCTCTTCTATTCATCTTCTGCGCGGCGCGGTCCTTAAGAGCGCCTTCCCTTGGCAGCCTGTCTGCTGTGGAAGGGATTCGAGTCATAACTGTGCCAGAGTAAGCCTGCAGGCCAGGAGTTTCTCCCGGCCCTGCATCGTGCGCCTGCTGTCCGCGGCTGGTGCTGGCCACGAGCCAACTTCCCGTGCACCAGCCGCTCTCGGGCGCGTGAACAATTCTATAAAGGGTCACTTTCGTTGCTTGAAATTCTAGTGATTGTAGCAGTGGAGATTCCACGTCAAGAGATAAATGCGATTCTCCTGTCGCTTTATTGATGAACAGGGCAGACTTCCGAAATTTTGACTTCACAATTTTTTTTGCGACTTTTTCCGAGCCTGCTTCGATAGGCTGATGCGTCACGCGTGCATTCGGCTGCTTGCGATGCCTATGCTGGTAGGCTCGTGTCACTGACCTTCTACTGTCAACTCCCATTGCACACCTCTCGTTTGATTCAACGTCCAATCTGGTTAGACGTTCTTTCTCTGTATCATGCTTCAGAGCGTAGCGTTCTATATTCTGATCAGGAAGGTGTACGTCGAAGAGAGTGGGGTCTTGCAAGGATTCAGCCTTCAAGATACTCTCTACAGCTGTCTGCCTCCAGTCCAGGACAACGTCCGGTGCTGCATCGGTTGTAGTCCTCTGTTCGTCTTTGCTACAGATTGAAAATCTCGATCAATCTGTTTGTCCTCGTAACCACTGAACAGAACACTTCAACAAGAGCCTGAAAGATTATTGAAATTACCGGAATACTCTGGGCCCGATGCAATCCTTTTTGCAATCGCTTCCTACAGGACGAACTGGCGAGCCAGACCAAATTTCGGATGGTCCTTCGCTACCTGACGGTGCTCCAAACGTTCGGCGTGCACAACCACGTTTGCTACCGCCCTGGCCGCAGTGTCGTCATCCCGCCCTACATCGACGTCCGGAAACTGCGCCAGCTGGCGTTCGCACCCGAGCGGGACGCCCACGAGAAATCGGTGCTGGCGTTCTTCCGGGGGCTGTACATTGACGCAGGAAACGACGCTACTGGCAAAGTGTACTCTAGGTGAGGGGCCAGTCACGAGGTGACAGTTGAGAAGTGCATTGCGAGTGTCCACTTTTCACGATGGTAGTGAGAAGGTCCGCTTTTGTGCTCGATGCACCGCTTTTTCGATTGGCTTTGAATTTCCGAGCGGCCGGGCCGTCTTCGCGATTGTCGCTAGCAGACCGAAGCTGAGCTGGCGGCGCATTATTCTATTTTTGCCTTATTCTTCGCATGAAGTCATCAGAAGACATCCTTTCTTCACACCCATTGATTTGGCGGACTCGTAAGCAGAGAGATCAGAGTCATTTCGCTTTTGCAGCATGTTCCTTCTTTCTCTCCGTTCTCAATCCCAGTTCCGGCAGGGGGGCCAGCTCTGGGGAAGGTCCGCTTCTGTGGCCTTTTTATCTGTGGGGGTCTTCTCTGCAGTCCCGTGGCCCCCCTGTCTCGAGCGAATGCGGGAGCATAGTACTGGCTCGAGGCAGACCGCAATCCTGTTTTGCAGGGCTGCGTGTCTGGTCACCTTGAGTGACATCGTCGCTCGAGTCCGCCTCCATTTCCCCGCAACATCTCCCAAGGCTCTAAAGTTCCTCAGTCTCAGCTTTTGTCGACGCTGCAAAGCTATCCACCCGATCCGTCGCGTTGGCGTCCTCTCCGTAGTGATTTTTGAGGACCCTTTCCTGAGTAGGGACTAGTTCAGCCGCTCTTATCTGCAACCACACCGTTGTTGTCAAAGCCTTCGTGGCGTGATCACAAGAATCGCATTTCAACCTCTCGAGAACGAAAGCTGACAAGGAACTCCCTTCTTTTGGCTCACATGTCGGTTCTGACCCCTCTGGTCGGCTACCGCGATCTTTCCCAGCAAGTTCCGCACTCCCGAGTTTCAAAGCGTCAGGCGTCTCTAACTTCGTCTATAACCCTTTCCATCTTCGCAATGCAATCCGATTATGTGTTGGCAACCTGATATGCCTCTATTCTAGTCGCCCGCTGCCTCTGCTTCACCCCCTTTTCCTTACCCTTCGTCTTTCCCCTAGGGGCGGTTGCCTTCCCATGGTTTCATTTCACAACCGACCTTTTTACCGGTATGGGTAAACAAGTTCTCGGTAATTAGGGTTTCCCATTGACCTTGTGCAATACCTGCGTCTTGTCAACCACCCATCCTGCCGCTTCAGCTTGCTAACCATCTCTTAACCCACTGCATCTCCCCAGGGCGTTTTCCGTGCCATCGGCCGATTGCTAGACTTTCGCAATTCACGAAATCTCACCCTAAGCCACCCACTCCCTTGCTCCAACTTTCTGATAACCCCCTCTTAACCCACTTTTCGCCCCAGGGGCGTCCGCCTCGCGATCGGCCAGACGTTCGCCAACCACCCCGACTTCGACATCAGCGACGCACCGTCCCTGACCTATCTCCAAGACATGATGCGCGCAACTTTCTGCCTGTGCCCGCTCGGGTGGGCCCCCTGGAGCCCGCGCATCTTTGAGAGCGTGCAGATCGGGTGCATCCCCGTCATCATTGCGGATGACATCATCCTGCCGTTCGAGAACTACTTCAACTGGGAGCGGATCGCGGTGCGCGTCAAGGAGGCGGACGTGCCGCGGCTGGAGGAGATACTCAAAGGGATCCCCCCCGAAAAGGTGAGCAAAGGGGGTGATAGTTTTGCTTGCGTATGTTGCTGCCGACTTTGCCTTCCTAAGCCGAGGCTTGTCTTCCTCAAATCTGAAGAAGAGAGCGGAGGCTGACAAAATAGTTCAGTCACTCGCGGTCATCGTTTGTTGAATGTTCGCTCTCTTTCTCTCAGCATCATTCTGCCAGTTCCGTGTTCTGTTGTGTTTCATTCTTACCTGCTTACCGAATGTCATCGAGGGCGCTCGCACCTGACGAGGGTTAGCTCAGGTCCGAATCTCGGCAGCGGCTTTTGTTTGTCTGTCGTTCCCTTTTTGACTCGGTAGGAGAGGATGGATGGCGGATGTCAGCCCGGAAGGATGTGAGTCGAGCGGTTCCTTCGCAGCCCGGTATGAGCGAGCTCTCTTCTGTTGGTTGGCTGTCGCAAGCTTTTGCATCGCGACGGGACAAAGGGCCCACCCTTGAGTGGCGGGCTTAACCTGCAAACGTAGGTGCGGTTGTCCTTTACCTGTCCCGTACTATCTCCCCGGCTGGTGAAGAATCCTGCTGTGCATCCATGCAAAAGCGAGCGGGATGAACAATCTTCCGAGCCCTTTTGAACGAGAGCTTTCGTGATTGTGGAATTTGTACAAGGTTGTCCCCTTATTGTTGCCTGGCAGGTGAATCCTCGGTGTATGTCTCTCATTCTTGATGGCACCTTTGAATCTTGCAGCGTTCTTTTTTCTCGATGCCTACAGTCCATCCTATCCTACTCACGTTGCCATCTTTTTACAAAGTTTCTCTCAAACACATTCCGCCTTATTCTGAGTTGTCATGCTCTCTGGACGGCCAAGTTTTTTTTGAACAAGAATACTGCCGGCTGGGCTTCGCGATGGCCAAAGGGCAGAGTTGGTATGAAATGCGCAACTCCGGGTATCGTCCGTTGGTAGTGAGAAGCTTTAATATGATGCCAGAGATTGAACTTCAAAATCGTCCCAGATTGGCAAGTTCGGAGGGCAGAAGTTCGGAGCGAAGGTTGTTCTCCAGATACGGGCCTGCGAATGAAAGGGCTTAACTATCCTCCATTCTGACTTCGACACAGCATCGTGCTTCCTTTCTTTGGTAACGAAGGGAACTCATCTCCCCTACTCCCACGGGTTGAGACATGCTTGGTAGTCGAGGGAGCCAATGTTCATCTTTTGTGGCTTAGTATTCATGACTCTTCTGCATTTCTCCCTATTTCAGGTGGCTGCCATGCAAGAGGCGATGTGGGATCCGCAGGTGCGGCAAGCGCTTATCTTCCCGGAGCCGGCTGAGCCGGGCGACGCTTTTGAGATGATATTGAACGAGTTGGAGGCCAAGGTGGAGAGAATACGGCATAAGCGGGCGGAATACTTCCGAAAGCACGGGCAATGAGTTATGGGTTCCCCGGTCCAGTCAAATAATGCGGTCACCTTTCAAGACGACAATGCGTTGAATTGGAAGAATAAGGAAGAACGGATCTAGTTGCCGCTCTACGGGTCTACGCTAGGCTTGAGGCACGCTAGTGTCGACCCGGTAAGGCTTTCTAAAACATAGCAAAACATTGGCCAACTCTGGGTTAACGGTTATGAGGAGTATATAGTATGACTTTCAAGCTCGGTGGAGGGCATGTGATGCACCAAACGATGTGTTTATTGATGCCAAAAGGGTATTTTCTCCAACTATATGCCCATACCCTTGGTTCATTGGCCAATTGAATACACAATCCAAGAACATCGATCTTATTTTGATATGCCTCAACTGAAAGTGTCCGGTCGACCTACATGGATATCACAATGTGATTATACAAAGGGTCACTTGCAGAGCTTCATGTCATAGAACAAGCAATATAGGCCTCGTGGGTCCACAGTTTTGAGTGACAACCGTTGAATTTGACACGTAGTCATGTTGCAGTCGACTCGTGCTTCCGTTTCCCTAAGGGCATGCTTGTCCACTGACCAAGCCAATAGGGGGCTGGGCGTGCAGGAGAGAAAATCAAAAGGGCCGACATATATGTCACGCAAAGATCTAGAATTCTGGATCATGCAGATTCCGGTGGAGAAGCATCAAAGAAGCTTGACGAAGAGGGTTAGTGTTTGTTGCTATGCAGTTCGTTGCCATATAAGTTGAACCCACATTTGAGTATGAATCTTGCAGGACAAATATTATAAACCGTTTCGTAAGGCCTTGAAGGCGGATCCATGTCGCGGCACACCAATTTTCAACCTAGATGTTCTCTTTTCAACTGCCGTAGCCTCATGGGCCATAGGCTTCAATGGCATACATGGGAATATGTGTTTGAGTTTTGAACGCCTAGCTACCGGCCCTACCGACTCTCCATGTGCTAAATCCGTCCTCAGACCGTGCTCTTGGCAACCGCTTCTTCCAGCTTTAATGGACTGCAACCTTTGCCACGTGCCAACCTTCTGCCGCCGGCCTTCGGCTGCCGGTTTTCACGGTGCCAACCTTTCATGTCAGCCTTTGCCAGAAGCTTGCTCGTGCCAACCTTCCGCTGCCGGCCTTCCGCTGCTAGCCTTTGCCAACCTTCATGCCGGCCTTTGCCGACCTTTCATGCCAGCTGTTCCAGGCCTTCGCCACGTGCCGACTTTCCGCTGCCGGCCTTCCGCTGCAGGCCTCCCGATGCGGACATTTTATGCCAGCCTTTGCCGGGCTTTGTCGTGCCGACCTTCCGCTTCCCACCTTCGGCTGCCGGCCTTGCGGCTGCCGGCCTTTGCCGACGTCTATGCCATTGCCGGCCTTTGCACTCTTTGCCACGTGCCGACCTTCCGTTGCAGGCCTTTGCCGACCTTCTATGCCAGCGTTTGCCGGCCTTGCCACGTGCCGACCTTCTGCTGCCGGCCTTTGCCGGGCTTTTTATGCCAGCCTTTGCCGGGCTTTGTCGTGCCGACCTTCCGGTGCCCGCCTTCCGCTCAGCGGCCTTCCGCAGCCGGCCTTTGCCGACAGTGTATGCCAGCGTTTGCCGGCCTTTGCCACGTGCCGCTTCCGCTGCCGGCCTTTCGCTCCAGGCCTTTGGCGACCTTTTATGTCAACCTTTGCCGGCATTTGCTCGTGCCGACCTTCC